GGTGGGAGGGTTGTGCAGAATTAATTACACTAATGTGGGAAAAGGGCAAAACTGTGTACCAAAATGTGAAAAATAATCTTAAAATATGTAGGACTCATAACTGACTCAACAGAGAAAGAACTTGAAATTCTTAATTCTTGAATATGAGAGCAAAGTTAACAATTACTTACATTCTTATTAGAAAAGGGTAACTGTCTACATTCACAATAACCCAATAAACAACCCATGGAACAATGCTCTGTGGTTTGTTTAATTATGGATATAATTGAGAGGTTCATTGTACATGACAAGGCAAGGTTGCAACAGATCTTTGACTGTGTAAAAAGCAGGCAAATGTCAATTTAATAAAGAAACATCTGCAGTCATGTCAATATGCTTGTGCACTTATGACCACTTTTTTGTGACAGGAGTGACTTGAAAAACTGCAAGTCGCTTCTGGCGTGAGAGAATTGGCCATCTGCAAGGACGTTGCCCAAGCGACACCCAGATTTTTACCATCCTGTGGGAGGTTTCTCTCATGTCTCCACATGGGAAGCTGGAGCTGACAGACGGGAGCTCATCCCGCTTCCCAGATTTGAACTGCTGACCTTTTGGTCAGCAGTTCAGCCAGCGCAAGTTTTTAATCCATTGCCCTACCAGGGGCTCCTTATGATTTATGCTTTGTCTGTGGCAGTGAGTTGGAACCAACAAAAGAAAAGAGTTTTTTTCAATGACAGTCCATGGATTGGGCCTGGTCCGTAAGCTGTTGGCTGCCAGTTTGTGATGTGTTTTACAGGAATAAAAATCATTTGTATCAATAACCACATATATGGTGACAGTTTTTAGCACATTGAGGGAAAAAACCCTGCCAGTCTTTTGTGTCAGCTAGCTTAAGAAGCACTATCTATGGCATTTTCCCTCGAGGGAAGGTTATTTTACTTCTTAGATCTTTAAAAAAAACATACCAGTGGATATGGTCTATGAATCTTGGCCATGATTCTCAGCACATAATCAGTCCATATTTAAAGAAGTTTGTACATACGAATGCAGTTGCTTTCTAATTGTGAAACACCTTTCTGAATATCCAAAGCTCTTTAACCTTCCAACCTTATTGCAGCTCCTAATCCACAGATCTACTAGTACATCCGGTTTGACCTTCAGCCCACCTCTGTGTTACTACTTTTCTGAGTACTCTGGTAGATGAACTGACTGTGTACTGTTGTAAGGCGTTATAGGAAGGAAAGACATTGATAAAAAAGGATGTAAAATAGTATTACAATTTAATTATTTATTGTGTCAGAAGCAAATTGGGGGTACAGTTATAATGTACACAAATGAAGGGAAAAGCTTGGCATTATGCTAAATGTACTTTGACCAAAAGCTGGCCACTTGGAGTACCTCTGGTGTCACTGTGAGACGTTCCTCCATTGTGCATGTGGCAAGGTTCTGGTTGCATTGTAGTAGGTAGTCTGTGGTTTGCTCTTCTTTGCACTCACATGTTGTGGGCTCTACTTTTCTTAAGGTTAGCTCTGCATCTCGTGGTGCCAGAGCACAGACTGTTCAGCACCTTCCAGGTCGCCCAATCTTTTGTGTGCCCAGGAGTGAGTCTCTCAACTGGTATCAGCCACTGATTGAGGTTCTGGGTTTTTTGCCTGCCGCTTTTGGACTCTCGCTTGCTGTGGTGTTCCTGCTAGTGTCTCTGTAGATCTTAGGAAGCTATTTCTTGATTTAAGGCATTGGCATGCTCCCTGATATCTGAAAAGAGGGCCAGAGAGGTCAATGCCTTGGTCCTTTATTGCAGGCTGCTACTTCCCAACGGATGTCAGGTGGTGCAATACTAGTTAAACAGTATAGTTTCTTCAGCAGTGTTGGGCGTAGGCATAATGTGATGGCATAATGTGATAATGTGGCATGTCTCATTAACAGCCACATCCACTGTTTTTATGTGGTGAGATGTATTCCACACTGGGCATATGTATTCAGCAGCAGAGCCACAAAGTGCAAGGGCAGAGGTCTTCACTGTGTCTGGTTGTGATTATAATCATTATAATTATCTATATAAATAAAAATGTAACATTCGCTTGTGGGATTAACAGAGCTCAGAAACCACTGGTCAACTTGACACGAAATTTTGAAGCAATGCACGTAACAGTCCAATTAGTGTCCACCACCCCTAAAAACACACAACCCCCCCCCCCAGCGGAACAGACTTAAAAAACCCCAAAATACACCATATATACATATATACATACACTCATATACATATACACATACACACATTCATACACACGTATATATATGCGCAAGCACACACAAATGTACACACATATACACATGCACACACATACACATATACACATACATACATTCATACACACACATATATATATGCACAAGCACACACAAATATACACATGTACACACACATAATACATATATACATATATACAAATATACATATATACACACATATACACATGCACACATAAATATATACATATACACATGTACACACATACATATATACACAAAAATATGTATATAGACAAGCACATACATATACACAATATGCATATACACATATAAACACATGAGTACACAGATATATATATATACACATATTCATACCTATATATATATATATGTATATATATATATATATACACATACACACACACACACACACGCAAACACACATATGCACAGACTGGGCCACAGCAATGTGTGGCAGGGGACGGCTAGTTATGAATATAATAATAGTATTTATGTATGCAGTATTTTATATAGATCAAAAACATTCCTGTAATAATATTAATTACATAGAATAGGATTAAATGTGAAATCTCATCTTTTAAGTTTGACTTGGAATCTGGAGAGTTACTTTTTAAAAGTCATCTGTTCCTCTTTTACATTATAGTATTCAGAGAGTCATTTGCAGATCTGTTCATGGAAACATTTGATAAAGTAACCCATTGCCATGTATGTTGCATTCCAGTTATTTTTGTTACATGCTGTTACTTTAAAACAACTGATTCAAAAACCATGAAAAGTGACGAATTCCTATGGCAATGCCACAAAGTTATTTCAGAAAGTAACTAGAAAATGTTACTTGTTGCGGGGAATAAATTAACTGCCCCCAATGCATTTTTCTTGGCACGTGGGTTTCTTGCATTCTTTATTGGAGAGGAAGTCACTCATTATACAAAGCTATGTCAAAAGGGACTTCTTTGAAAACGGATAAGCATTGCTTCTTAAGCTCTCGAGGTCAAAGCATTTCCTTCCCTCCTGCCCCATGTCTAGTAAACTTGAGTGTCGTATTCCGCAATTCCAGGAGCGGCTGCAGTCTCCAAGCTTGAAAGCTCCCCGCCTCCTGCAATGTTCTTTCTTTTTTTTTTCTTTAAAAGCCTTTTTGTCAGCCTTCCTCTGGTGATAGGAATGAGCTGATGATGGGCATTAATGAATGTCACTGTCAATAGACAGCATCTGAGGCGAACATTGTTTGTTTCCTTGCCTCCCACCCACCATACGCAACGCAGTGGGGTGACTTCAGACTCTGTTTCCATTGGCCCGCCTTCTCTCAAGACTAAGTATGGAGTGTGTCTGCTAGTTACCTTTGGCCTACTGGGCATAAACCTATGAGTAAAGCACATGACTGATGTCCTAAGAGACCTTCGCAGTGGAGGGAGGTGCCAGCAGGAGGCTTGTTTCTTTTTTTAATGAAAGGTCTGTTGCTCTTTCACCCTGTCTCAGTCTGCAGAGAGTCTAATGGGAAAGCACATTCTTGCTGTTCTTTCCTCCCTAGGCAAAGTGATACACACACATATACTGTACAGCATTGAGTCTGATTGTGTGGAAAACAAGCAGATGTTTGAATTTGTTTGAGAGCACTGCGGTCCATTTAAGAGGCAAATGCTCTGGGGATTTTTAAAATTGTTGCTCTGTTTTGTCAGAGAAAAGGGAACCATTACTGACTCTTACTCTTGTGACTTGGCTCTTGAGCAGATGCTATCCAAAAATAGACATGTGTATTTTCTTAAAGTTTGGCTGATATGTTTAATAAGATGTGGCACCTGACAACAACAGTCTGATACAAACCAAAAATGCTAGGTCAGTGGTCCTCAACCAGGGGAGGGGGGTTTGCAAGGGGGTGTCAGAGGAATCACCAAAGATCATCAGAAAATGCAGTATTTTCTGTTGGTCATGGGGGTTCTGTGGGAAGTTTGGCCCGATTCTATCATTGGTGGGGTTCAGAATTCTCTTTGATTGTAGGTGAACTATAAATCCCAGCAACTACATCTCTCAAATGTCAAGGTATATTTTCCTAAACTCCAGTGGTGTTCACATTTTAGTATATTGAGTATTTATGCCAAGTTTGGTCCAGATCCATCACTGTCTGAGTCCAAAGTGCTCTCTGGATGTAGGTGAACTACAACTCCAAAACTCAGTCAATGCCCACCAAACCCTTCCAGTATTTTCTGTTGGTCATGGGAGTTCTGTGTGCCGAGTTTGGTTCAGTTCCATTGTTGGTGGAGTTCAGAATGCTCTTTGATTGTAGGTGAACTATAAATCCCAGCAACTACAACTTCCAAATGACAAAATGAATTCCCCCCTTAAACCCACCAGTATTCAAATTTGAGCGTATTGGGTATTTGTGGCAAATTTGGTCCAGTGAATGAGAATACATCCTACACATCAGTTATTTATATTATGATTCATAACAGTAGCAAAATTACAGTTGTGAAGTAGCAACAACAAATAATTTTATGGTTGGGGGGTCACCACAACCTGAGGAACTATATTAGGAAGATTGAGAAACACTGTGCTAGATGAAAAGTCTCCCTATTCAGAATAGCATTTTCCTCTCAATGAAGTCATGTATCAGTGCTGTCTAGAATACAGATGGTTCTAGTTTAATACAGTGGCAGAATATTTGGAAGATGTGCATTTTCCTCTTGCGATTTTTAAAAAAGGATTCTTTCATAATACATCGGTTGCTCACCGTTTTTCTCTTTTGTCACCAGATTTCAGCATAAAGGACAAGGGAAATAAATCGCAATGCAAGCTCATGAATTGTTCAGGCATCTGCGAATGCCAGAACTGGGTGACGTGAGGCAGTATGTGCGAACTCTTCCAACAAACACATTGATGGGATTCGGTGCTTTTGCAGCACTCACAACTTACTGGTATGCTACAAGACCAAAAGCTCTGAAACCACCATGCGACTTAGCAATGCAGTCAGTGGAGGTGGAGGTAAGTGGTTGTGTAATTTGTGTTCTTTACTGTTGATTCTTTTGTAGTATCGTGTTGTTGTGATCTTTGGAAGCAATTTGACTTATCTAGAGGTCATGTACTTGCATTCCCCAATGTTTCTGGCAGCCGAATGTTCTGTCTGTGAAAATAGGTTCTTAAACAATTAAAGCTCTTGGTCTTTCAAGGCTCGTAAGGATTGAAATAAAGAGTGGTTTACACTGTGCCTTTTAACGGTCACGGCAACCTTGGTCTTTCTTTGTGTTTTTCCCCTCAAGTACTTCATAGCAGAAATTACCATCCAGCATAAAAAAGATATGCACTTTCAAGTTTGTGCTCACCTCCTATCACCATTTTTTCTCTTTTCTCTCATCACCATGGTAGCATATTAATTGTGCAGCAAGTGGAATACATCAGGATGGGAGCACGTCATACAGACACTGCCTACAAGGATATCAGACAAGCCCCCACATTGGCAGTCTTTAGGAGGAGCCTGAAAATGTGGCTGTTCCGGTGTGCCTTCCCTGAATAAAGGAAACAATCACCTGCAAAATATCCTGAGAACCACTTTAATTACCTTTTGGGTTGCTCTCTACTTTTGGTTTAAAACCCTCCTACTAGATACATCGTCTGTTCATGTCCAGCATTTATTTTTAAAGTTTTAACTATTACATCTGGCCTGGCCATAGGTTTTTAAATCATTGTGTGTTATTGTCTATGTGTGAGTTATATTAATTGTATTGTTTATTTTGCTTATTGCTTCTTGTTTTTATCGATGTGTTGTTGGGCTTGGCCTCATGTAAGCCACTCTGGGTCCTTTGTGGAGATGGTGGCGTGGTATAAATAAAATTATTATTATTATTATTATTATTATTATTATTATTATTATTATTATTATTATTACAATCCTTTGAATACTTTCCTGCAGTCATAAAGAGAGATTGTATACATTTAGAAGGCTTCTTGAATGCAAACTCCAGGAGAAAATGAGGCTGAAGATTCTGTACCTCTAATACATGCATAGGCCAGCACAGTTCCTTATATCAGGGTAGAAAGAAGTGTGTTTCATTTTCAAACTCTTCTTTGAGTCAGTTCCTAAAAGTGAAACTTGTGGTAGAAATCATATATTTAACACAATGTTAGTCTTCTCTTAAAAATTAAAATCAGAAATGAGTTTCTGCATCAAGAGATAGTGATAGAGAAACATAGACCATGAGATAAAAGAGTTTTGTAGACGTGACTCAGTAGGCAATGCCTCTGGGATTGTAGCAAGGCGAAACAAGAGGCCAGTCATCACTAGCAGGACACAGCATCTTATATTGTGCCAAGATCATCCACTGACACACACACAACTTGCCATGTACTATCAGTGTGTTTCAGTGTAAACATTTGACCCTACTAACTAAACAAAAAAGGTATAGTTGTGTTTGTCCTCGTGGAGTAACGTGCAGCCATTTCTGGAAAGTTCGCTGCAATTTACTTTCAAATCATTGAACTCTCTTATAGTGTACAGAGTGCAAAGCAGGGACTGCTTAATTTCACAATTGTCTGCAGGGCCCCACACATTTTGGCTAACCTCACCCTGGCTTGTCCTTGGTATGACCCTGCTCTATAGAGAGTCTAAACTGCAGAGGCAAGTGTAGAAACAGACAAGCTACTAGGTTTAAAAATCAGTAGTATCAGACAGAACAGGCTAGCTTCCTTTCAGAATAGCTGCCCTGTCATGTTTTCTGCATTTCTGAAATACACAAGATGGTTCCTGGATATCACTGTTAAGGAGGTTCTGACTTGGGGCACTCAAATGGCAGTGTTGGTTAAGAGAGCCCAGTAGAGATTGTATTATTATCTGAGACCTCTAAGGAACCAACAATTGAATGAAAAACTTTTGGTGACTTTCTACCACTGTGCTATAGAGAATGCCTTAACCTATTGCATCTGTGCATAGTTTGGTAACTGCACAGTGGCAGACAGGAAGACACTCCAAAAGTTGCCTTCCCCCCTCTTTGGAAGAACTTTATAAGTCCCACAGCCTTAAGAAAGCTCAGAGCATTCTTAATGACCCGTCTTACCCAGCATATTCTTTTTTAGAATTATTACGATCTGGCAGATGGTACAGGGTGACAAAGACAAGGACAAACAGACAGAGGTGTAACTTTTATCCTAAAGCTGTAACTATGTTGAACTCCATGGTTTCACATTGATATGTGACATTGGGGGCTGTGCAGTGGTGTTTGGAGTATGGCTTTGTTTTATAGTGATTAATATCAGAAGGATCGTTGCTGTAAACTGGTTTTTGTTACAAAAAATCTTTTGCATTCATAATTGTACAGGAAACTTACAAATTGCAGTATAGAACATTTTAGTTTATAACTAAATTTCTATACAATTTAGGGAATCTGTATTTCTTAAAAATTCTCTTTTAGGCAGCTACTTGATCCATAAGGATTCTGTGTCCCTTTTCAGGGACAATTAAGAAAAAAGGGGAAAATATTATTCCCTATTTGTTCCCATAAATTTATTGTTGTCTTGTGTGACTCCATCCTCAGATGGTGTGTTCAGGATTACTGAAATCCCAGACCAGCCCTCTTTCTTTCCTGTATTGTGCTGGCAAAGTAACTGAGACCATGTTTTTAATAAGAGCCAATATGCCATTCTTTCAACCTAGTTATTGGCAGTGCTTGTTGACACACTCTTTCCATAACCTAACGAGCCAACAATTGGTAATAACTCTTTGAAAATCCTGGGCATTCAGCAGTTTATCTGATATAGTTGGTTAGCAATTTATATGTTGCTGGCTATAATAATTTACTTTGCTTGAATCAGCATCCTAATAGCAGTTCCACACCGGCTTCTCCAGCACAACTGTATATCTTACTTACTTAAGTAAGTAAGTTTAAGTATCTTCTGGGGATACTTTTGTCTCAAGAGATGTGCCAGCAACAGTGTTTACATAAGAATTGGTGATACTATTCCCAGCCCTTTTCCTTATTCTTCCAGTTAAGTGGGAATTTCCCCAGTTCAAATTTGCCATTGTTTTCTTGACCAGAAAGCCATGGAAATTCCCAATTTGTAACAGAGAACATTACCAACGTTAACTCCTACAGGGCAGTAAAAATGTATGCCCAAAGGACAAGGCACCGAAAATAGTGAATGCTAAGTATTAACTTGATATATAAGTTTCTCATCTGTGGCATTGCTCTTTGTACCATAAGCCCATGCCAATATTGTAGCTAGTCTCCAACTAGTGTAAAGTTTATGTGGAAGGATGCATTTCTGTCTAAAGGGCAAGGGGTATAAAGTTGAACCTGATTATTCAATCTTGCTTTGACTGCAGATAACATGGCCAGACATGGGGCTGCTTACTATGCTGTTATTGAGCTACACATAAAAGCAGAAAAAATCAGTACTGTGATTACAATTAGGATGGTTTTAAGAATCAGAAGTGTCATCAGTGTGATGAAGAAGATGTACTCAATGACAGAGTCAGGTTCACTGGCGTGTGATATGTGAAACTGACTTTGATGGAGGGGCGGAGTTGGATATAGGAAGAGAGACTAAGATTTTCATTCCTAGAGGATTAGATGAGATGCTATCTTGAGGGTTGAGAGCAACACACATACATGAACCAGCAATTGTATTACCTTCCAGGGAGTTAAAGCCTTTTCTCCAAAGCCTTGCTGCAAGTGAGTATGTGTGTGTGTGTGAATGAAATTTGGGGGACAATTGAATTTGGTGGCACATGGCACCTCTCACGGGAGTCCACATTAGGGGACCAGAACTTTGCCTACAAACAACAGTCTATAGCCAGTGTTACTTAGCACTTTGTGTGTTCAAATAGGAATTTCTCAGTTGAGTGATGTTTGCCATTTAATTACATATAACACTGAAGCATGTTATAGAGTGAGTGATCGCAATGGCACACTTTCACTTACTGTGAAACATTTCCACTTACTGTAAAATACTTGCTTTGTGATTATTTTTTTATTCAATGACTTGTGCGTTGATCATTGTTCATACAACATTATTGGGATACTTTCCACTGACTATTTCAGTGTAATTTTAAAGAAAGTTCAAATGGTATGTACATGGATAATCATGTTTATATGTAAACTATGGGTATTTGAAATTTTTTTGACCCTAGTGAAAATGGCATCTCTAGCTGAACAGTTTAAATAGGTTCTTTTAGGTAACTAGGTATTTAGATGGAAGTAGGTTGAATGTACCTGACACTTCTAATATATAGGGATCTATATAAAAGAACCAAAACTTGGGAAAGTTACTGTTTTAAATTGCAAGTACCAGAATCCTGCCTGCCTGTGTAATCAAACTCTGGATTTTCCAGGCACTAGATTCTGAGAATTCTAGGTCCAAAAAAGTAACTTTCCCAAGCTCTGAAAGAAACACTTATGAAATTCATGAGATAGTTTCCCTCAGCAGCTGTAAATAATTTGAGCACTGAAACCTGTCTTTGACCAGAGTATGCATTGGCTTACTTCCTAATGTGGTAAATTGTTCCAATACCTGAATCATTCAGCTATTGATGTTTAGGACATTGCACTGAAGTCTTCAGAGAACTAAATATGTAACTTTAATTCACTTCATGCAGGGTGAAGAGCATGCCCGAAGATCATCACTACTTGACAGTGACGAACCAATAATTTACTACTATGATGATGTGAGAACAGTTTATGATGTCTTCCAAAGAGGAATACATGTGTCAAGTGAGTATTTCAGAGAAGGAATAGTAACAGATTGTACATGAGTTGAAAGCTTGAGGATAATTATCTAAAAGTGCTGAATGAGCCATTTGGTAAAGAAGCGAAACTGAATCTCTCCCAGGAAGCAACTGCTGTTAAGTTACTTATCCCATTAACTATTTATATTCCCCCAGACAATGGGCCCTGCTTGGGAGTCAGGAAACCAAATGAACCATATGAATGGATGACTTACAAAGAGGTAAGTGTATAGTGATATCATTAGCGATGGGACTTGCAGTTGCAAAAGGCATTTTGCAGCATAGTCCTATGCATATTTACTTAGAATCATAGAATCACAGATTTAGAAGAGACCTTGTGGGCCAACCAGCCCAACCCCCTGCCAAGAAGCAGGAAGATTGCATTTAAAGCACCCCCTAAAGATGGCTATCCATCCTCTGTTTAAAAGCCTCCAAAGGAGGAGCCTCCACCACACTCCAGGACAGAGAGTTCCACTGCTGAACTGCTCTCACGGTTAGGAAGTTCTTCCTCATGTTCAGGTGGAATCTCCTTTCCTGTAGTTTGAAGCTATTGTTCTGTGCCTAGTCTCCAAGGCAGCAGAAAACAAGCTTGCTCCCTTCTCCCTATGACTTTCCCTCACATTTTTATACATGGCCATCATGTCTTCTCTCAGCCTTCTATTTTGCAGGCTGAATAGAAGGCTCTTTAAACCACTCCTCATAGGGTTTGTACTCTAGACCATTGATCATTTTAGTCACTGCCCTCTTAGTCCTAATCTTTTTTTTATACTGGTTTTAAACCACTTCATTGGATGTGTTGCAATAGTAGATTCCCAGATTAGTTTAGTGTTTACACCTTATTTTATTTTTCTGGTTATTTAATATTTAATGTTTATTTTACTTAAGTGATATTTGTCTTGACTGTTCTAATGTAGCACAAATCCTATGTAAAATCATACTACGTATTTTTGACATTAATATTGAAATCTGAAATATATACAGAAAGTCTTTAGACACATTCCAACTTGTCAATATCTCCCTTCAGTTGTGATGCACAGAATTTGACACAGTACTGTATTCCAGATGTGGTCTGACCAAGACAGAATAGATGGGTAGCATGACTTCCATGGATCTAGACAGTAGACTCCTATTTATGCAGGCCAAAATCCCATTGGCTTTTTTTGCCGCCGCATTACACTGTTGGCTCATGTTTAATTTGTTGCCCATGAGGTCTCCAAGATCTTTTTCACACATACTTCTATCGAGCCAGGCATCATCCCCCATTCTGTATCTTTGCATTTAAGAAATAAGCCCAGCAGAAATCAGTGGAGTATATTTTCTGGTGGTAACAAAGTGTAGGATTACATCAGTGGTCCCTAAATGAAGGCCTGTGGGCCGGATATATTCTGAAACATGTCTCCTGCATAGCCTGTATCAAGTACAAATGAATGATCATAAAAGTTGTGGAACTCCCTTTACTCTAAAAGGGCTTTAGCTATATGATACAGATGAACTTCCTAGAGACCTGAGGAAATTGATTTTTTTCCTCAGAGGTCCAGCTATGCTCAAAAGAGATCCATTCATGCAGGGTCTACTGCAGATTTTTCTAGGTCAGTGTACACGCTTGAAAGAAAATGAAATGAAATGTAAACTCTTTTTAGTTGTATTATTTCAACAATGATACTCTTGGCTATTGGTTAGAATTTTTCTGACAAAATTATTTGGGGAATGTGATGAAATGGGACTTCCCTAAATTAATAGTTGCCTTTTATGTACCTGAGCTATAGAAAGACATTTTTGTAACTAGAATTAATCTGCCTTTTCAGAAAAAATTATAGTGTGTTGGTGTGTGTGTAAATCATATATCTTGCTTCACTTTCTTGATCTGGCAAGGCTTTGCTATAGGCCGCTAACAACATACAGCCTAGATTAAGTATTATGCCATCTGTGTAAAATATGCAAAGTGGCTAAAAGTAACTGAAAAGTTGAATGAGGTAAAACTGAGACATTTAAAAGCAATCAGAATTGGTAACAGATATGGTATTTATGTTTCTCCACTCTCCCTTTCTTCCTTAGGTTGCGGAAAGAGCAGAGTGTATTGGTTCTGCACTAGTGAACAAAGGCTTCAAGCCATCTTCGGATCAATTCATAGGACTTTTTTCACAGAACAGACCAGAGGTAATCAAGACTTTACATTTTAGGGAATGAAGTAGTTCAGTAGCATAGCTCTGTGTTTAATTAAAAAAAATATTTGGTCAAAGTGTGGAAAAGGTACTTTTTTATTACAACTCCCATAAACTCACAATCACTTTTCCAAACCGCCGTCTGGTCTACTTAGTAAAGCTTGGAGGTTTTGGGGTTGTTGTTGTTTTTTTGGCTTTTCAGTTAAGGACATGGTTCAGCACATTGGCTTAAGTCACCTACCTTACATACACATGTATAAGTCCAGAATTTTAGTCAAATAGTCCACCCAAAAAAACGTGCATGAACTTATCCATGGGTGGAGCCACCGATGGCGCAGTGCGTTCAACCACTGAGCTGCTGAACTTGCTTACCTAAAGGTTGCAGGTTCAAATCCAGGGAGTGGCGTAAGCTCCTGCTATTAGGCCCAGCTTCTGCCAAGCTACCAGTTCAAAAACATGCAAATGTGAATCGATCAATAGGTACTGCTCCAGCGGGAAGATAACGACACTCCATGTAGTCATGCCAGCCACATGACCTTGGAGGAGTTTACGAACAATGTGTCCTCCTCAGCTTAGAAATGAAGATGAGCACCAACCCCCAGAGTCGGACACTTTGAAACTTAATGTCAAAGGGAAACCTTTACAGTAGTTACGGCTGTTTCTAGTGTTGGATGTATCTGGCATGGTTAGCATGCTGTTCTGGATTAAGGAGGAATTAAGTGTTTGTGACTAGAATGGAATAAGTGATCTTCCAGATCATGCTGGAGTGTGCTTATCATCATCCCTAGCCAGGATCTCTAGAAGTAGAGACACGAGTAATTGCAGTGTAACACATGAAGAACAATGTGTTTTCCATTTCTTGTTTGAGGGCTGGCCTTTTTAATTACTATTTCACAGGACTTCATCGGCACATGCATAGTGGGCATCACATCTCAAATCTGCTAGTGATTTGGCTGTCTTGAACTCTGTTAGTTAATAGGTTCTTGTGGGTTTTTTCGGGCTATAGGGCCATGTTCTAGAGGCATTTCTCCTGACATTTCGCCTGCATCTATGGCAAGCATCCTCAGAGGTAGTGAGGTCTGTTGGAATTAGGACAATGGGTTTATATCTGTGGAATGGCTGGGGTGGGGCAAGGAGCTCTTCCCTGCTGCAGTTAGGTGTGAATGTTTAGCTGATCACCTTCATTAACATTTGAAGGCCTGCCTGAGCCTGGGAAAATCTGTTGCTGGGAGGTGTTAATCTGTGCCTGGTTTTTTCCTCTCTGTTGTTTTGCTGTTGTAATTTTAGAGTGTTTTAATACTGGTAGCCAGATTTTGTTCATTTTCATGGTCTCTTCCTTTCTGTTGAAATTGTCCACATGCTTATGGATTTCAATGGATTCTCTGTGTACCAAATCTCTGTGTGTAAAATCTGGCTACCAGTATTAAAAAACTCTAAAATTACAACAGCAAAACAGCAGAGAGGAAACAACCAGGCACATCTTAACACTTCTCAACAAAAGGTTTTCCCAGCCTCAGGCAGGCCTTCAAATGCTAATGAAGGTGATCAGCTGAAACATTCACACCTAGCTCTAGCAGAGAAGAGCTCTTTGCCCCACCCCAGCCATTCCACAGATATATAAACCCATTGTCCTAATTCCACAGACCTCACTACCTCTGAGGATGCTTGCCATAGATGCAGGCAAAACATCAGGAGAAATGCCTCTAGAACATGGCCCTATAGCCCGAAAAAACCCACAAGAACCTAGTGATTCCAGCCATGAAAGCCTTCTGTTAGTTAATGTTCTGCAAAAATGAAATGTACATATACCTATCATGTAGCTAATCTTGAACTGCTGGCAGAGTCCTGTACAATCTAAAAACCTGTCAGTCCTCTCCTGTCACCCTTCCCTTTCTTCCTGAATGTATATTTCCTTTGTGGAGATTATAGCCTGGGGATTGGGTCTGTTTCACTTCTGACTTCCTGCTTCAGGCATTCTCCCTCAGGTATTGACTTGATGTTGATAAACACTTTGTCTTCAGTGAGTGAAAATGAGGCTGTTACACAATACCTATCATGATTCATAGGTGATTAATAAAACCTATAGTATAGCATGCTTAGCTGTGAAAGTAATATAGAAAATTGTTATTTAGCATCTGTATCCCTGTTCTGCGAGCCATGGAAACATACGATGAGTAACCTTGAACAATTCACATTCTCTCTGCATCAGAGGAAAGCAAAGGCAAGCCTCCTCTGAACAAATCATGCTAAAAAAATCTTAGGATAGGGCTGTCATATGTTGGAAAAGACTTGAAGGCACACAATAACTACATACATGATTATTGAGGTTTCAGTAACTGACAGTGCTTGTTTCATGTGCTCGTCCCAAGGTTACTAGTTAGAGACGTGAAGTAGAAAAACAGTTTTTTTCTGGTTTCTTTTCAAATGTTTTGGTAAAACAAAAAAATGAAATAATGTACATTCTTGTTAGTAGAAAAGGCAAATGCCATTGGAATGAAATGTGAACTTCTCCAAAGGAGTACCTAGCATAATTTGGACTGGACATGCTGCTCTTGGCACAAAGCAGACAGTATATTTCAAGAAGGGATTGTGACTTTGGGCTTGAATGACAGTGACATACTGTTGCACCCCAGGCCTAGAAACCCCTATGATCACAGCACCATGCATGAGTCCAGTGTACAAGCAAACAGTTTATTGTAAAACATATCAAAAGTGTAGGAAAAAAAATCAGGAATAGATAAAGAAGATGTATATCCAAAAAAAGGTTTAGGAATAAGCAATAATCCATCTGGAATCCAAACGTCTCATACAGCTTCAAAGGTAATACAGTCCAGAAATAGCCAAAAATCATAAGAACAGCTTAAGTCCACAAGCAAAATGTATCCTTAAGGAAACTTGATTATGAATACAAAAACAGGAACATAGAAACTTCCACTATACTTGAATCCCAAAACCAAAGGCTTGACGGGAAACATGAACCAGGAATTCTAACCTAGCTTCTTATTCAAAAGGCTACGTTGCCTGAACTAACTTTAAAGTAAACAACTTGCCAATTAAAAATCACCCATGAAAGTATTTCATCTCCCATGCTTTTTCATGCAATCACTCTGCCCTGCGATGCCTATTTTCTGCTCTGATCTGTAAACTAAGGCGTTTGTTGATTTCAGTATCTCCAGGTGTTTTTTCCTGGGCGCTTTCTGTATCACCTGATTCTCCACTCGACTCCCTATCTAATGTTTCAGTCTCTGACTCCTTTGACTGATCTTGAAAGCCTGCACTTTCTGAGCCAGATTTCTCATTGAGAGAAGCATTATTCCCTTGACTTAAATCTTCATCCTTTCATGCCCCAGGAAATCCCACAGGCAATTGCACTATTATCTCTAAAACATCAGTGAACCCATCAGTCTCAGGCTGATCTACAACACATATGCTACCAAGAGTGCAGCTTTTCACTGTAGTACATAAATTACCTCTGTGTTTGTGTCTGTTCCCATATTTATAATGCTTACATCAGTGATTCGCAACCTGTGGGTCCCCAGATGTTTTGGCCTTCACCCAGAAATCCTAACAGCTGGTAAACTGGCTGGGATTTCTGGGAGTTGTAGGCTAAAACACCTGGGGACCCACAGGCTGAGAGCCACAGGCTTAGATGATATTTAGCCTAGAGATCAAGGTACTTTGTCTTAGGTCATGGTTTAGGTGGTATTGTCATATCTTGTATGCTTCAGTTTTCTTATTGCCTTGGGTGTAAACATAATATAGATTGATTGCATCATGCCAGTCAGCCAAGAAGATGTATAAATTGGTATAGAGCCAAAATATGTGCACTGCAGTGTTTTAATTTAAAACACTAAACAAAAACCCACAAAGTCAGTCATGCTTTGTCAACTTTGGTGTCGCAACTTCTATATACTCTTATAGTCACTTCATGTGTGGGGAAAGAGCCTTGCTTAACAAAACAAACTTTTAACTTGCTGTCTCGAAGGCAAAATATTTAATCCGATTCTGAATCTGGCTCACAATGTATGCACATTCATTCAGTAGACTTCTGCAGGAAAACTACACCAGTGAATACATATCTGGAAAGCCTGATTTTAGCAGTATTTCCTGCAGATAAATATTTTTTTAAAATGGACATTCTGATAATTGCATAATAATGTTTCCTGCAAGGAAAATACCAGTCTTCTTTGATGTAACGTGTGGTACTGACCTCATTGCTGTGTATTTACATTGATGAGAACCTCTTGCTTTGAAAGCCAGCTATCTGAACTCATATCAGTGTTTATATGTGAGTGTGGAAAGATATAAACTAGGCAAGCTGTCCGTACCATTGTGCCTCTCAAATCAGTCCTACATTATTTCTGCTTCTCTTTCAGTGGGTTATTATTGAACAAGGATGTTACACTTACTCTTTGGTGCCTGTCCCCCTGTATGACACTCTTGGAGAAGAAGCTATCACCTTCATTGTAAATAAAGGTATGTGTTGTGTTTCTTAGCACCGGAATACTTGGATATGTGGTACGTTCATAACTATATGCTCTGTAATAAGACATCTGTGAGAGGCAACATAGTGTAGTGCAGGTGTCCTCAAATCTTTTAAAGAGAGGGCCAGAACCCAGTCCCTCAAACTGTTGGAGGGCCGGATTATAATTTGAAAAAAACATGAATGAATTCCTATGCACACTGCATATATCTTATTTGTAGTTCAAAATAGACTTAAAAACAATACAATAATTAAAATGAAGAACAATTTAAACAAATGTAAACTTATTAGTATTTCAGTGGGAAGTGTGGGCCTGCTTTTAGCTGATGAGATAGGGTTGTTGTTGTTGTTGTTGTTGTGTACTTTCAAGTAGTTTCACACTTAGGTTGACTCTGAGTTAGGGCCGGGTAAATAACCTTAGAGGGCCATACCTGGCCCCCGGGCCATAGTTTGAGGACCCCTGGTGTAGTGGTTTGCATGTTGGAGACGAGGGTTCAAAACCCCCAGTTGGCCATGGAAACTCACTGGTTGTCCTTTAGCAGGCCCTCTCAGCCTCATAGGATGGCCATAATAAACCTTCCCAGGAGAAATCTTGTCAAGAAAATCTCACAGAAGGATTGCCTTAGGTCACCATAAGTCAGAAATGACTTGAAAGCACACAGGAACAACAATAGTAGGATGTCTGTTATCACACCATGCAGTTAACTTTGCATCTTCTTCTAAAAGTTTTGACTGCAGCTGAATAGCAAGTAATGAGATGAAGCAAATGCTAATGGTGTGGGAAGTAATCGGGACTTACTGTAGATTCGGAGAGTTGAAAAGTATCTTTTGTGGTTGAGCTCACTTGGGAGAAGCAGCAGTTGGAATAAAGCTGTGCTAGCTAATACATTTCACATAGGTCTCTTTAGAAAATCTCAGCAGCAAAGTTTTTATTTTTTTGTCATGTCAGAGCAACCAGTCAATTATATTACATTTCTAACAGAACAAAGCAAACAAACAGGCAAAATACAAAATTTGTGAGTTTGGTAGTTGATTAAATGTCCTTTGACCAGTAGCTGGCCACTTGGAGTGCTTCTGGTGTTGCTGCAAGTAGGTCCTCCATGGTGCATGTGGCAGGGCTCAGCAGCAAAGTAAATGGAAAGTTACTGAATTGCACTAAACCCTTAGGCATATAGCCTTTCATCAAGAAACAGTTTAAAAACTATATCCAGGAAACATAGTATGTAAAAGCTAAGCTAGTTAATTCTACCCAGCCAGTTTTAATCACAAGTTTTTAAACTTGTGTCTTACGTTTAATCTTTGTTTTGTGTTATTTTAACATGTATTTTATAGAAATATGTTTCAATATGTGTATTTTATAGAATGTTTTTAGATGACTATCTGTTTTTAGCGATGTTGTAACCCACTTTGAGCCACAAGGAGAGGCGAGTAAGAAATAAAATTATTATTATTATTTGATGCACAACAAGATTATTACACAGCAAGCAAGATCACTTTGCTGGCTTTTGTATTTGATCACATGTCGCACACTTCCCAAGTGTCTAGGGGTGTGTGATGTATCAGCGAATAATGCGTGCAGATCCGAGTAACAGATGGTAATTTTGTCAGATGGTAATTTTGTCAGTGCCAATTGTTTTTAAGTGCAGGCCAAGATCTTTAGGCACTGCACCCAGTGTGCCAATCACCACTGGGACCACCTTTACTGGCTCGTGTCAGAGTCTTTGCAGTTCTATCTTTAAATCCTCATGTTGTATAAGCTTTCCCAGTTGCTTCTCGTCAATTCTGCTGTTGCCTGGGATTGCAACATCGATCCATACTTGTTTTCTTCCCCCCAACAATTGTGAGGTCAGAAGCATTATGCTCCAAAATGCTGTCAGTTTGAATTTGGAAGTCCCAGAGTAATTTGACATGTTCATTTTCTAATATTGTCCTTTTTTTTCTTTTCAATTTAGCTGATATTGCTTTGGTTTTTTGTGATAAACCCGAAAAAGCTAAACTTCTTCTGGATAGCATTGAGAAGGGAGAAATATCAGTACTCAAAACCGTTGTGATTATGGATCCCTTTGACAGTGATCTTGTGGCTCGTGGAAAGAAATACGGAGTGGATATCATTAGTATGAAAGAAATGGAGGTGAGCAAAGCAGCTTCGGGGACAATTTCCAGTTCTGATGATGCAGCCAAATGCCTTAAGCAGCAAGAAAGAAGCCAACTTTAGCCTGTTACAAAATGCTGCTCTTTGACCAGCCGAATAAAGGATAAAGTTTGGACTGCTGCTCTTTCACAATGTGTAAATGATTTTAAACATTTGCCATGTTAAAAGATAACGCAGACTAACATGTCTGGTTCAAAGGTTGTGTCAGTTCTGAAATAGTTACAATCAAACAGGCATTCTGATAACTCTCTGTAACCCCAATTCATGAAATATAACTGTAGCAAAGATCAGGCATAAATCTGATACACAAATTAGTATATTCTAATGTGTCTTGGGATTCTGTTTTGTATTTGTCCACTACAATTTCGTGATGCCTTCCTTGAGAGTCTTGAGCACAATATTCCACCTCTAAGTATTTAGTGGTGCTGATGGCTACATGCTTCCTGTTGTTAGACTACTGAATTTGAAAAGACTTACTATTATATATTTACTGTATTTATACCCTGCCCTTCTCATCCTGAAAGTGGGGGGGGGGGGGGGGGGGGGGGGAGACGACGGGGACTCAGAGCAGCCTTACAATGGGCAATAATTCAATGCCACATAAAACAAACATATAATAAAATAAACATATACATTAAAACATAGAATTAAAAATATAAACATTAAAACCAATTATTAAAACCACAGAATCCGAAATCATATTCCAGGAGCCGTTCCAGTCGTTATTGCACATACTCCAACTTCACTTATTGCACTGATTACTGTCCAAAGGCTTGGTCCCATAGCCACGCTTTTAATTTCTTCCTAAAGGTCAGGAGGGAGGGAACTGACCTGATTTCATTAGGGAGGGAGTTTCCCAGGCAAGGGGCCATCACTGAGAAGGCCCTGTCTCTCATCCCCACCAACCACACCTGCGAAGTGGGTAGAACCAAGAGCAGGGTCTCCCCAGACAACCTTAACCTCTGAGGTGGTTCATAGAGGGAGATACATTTCGACAGGTAAGCCAGGCCAGAACTGTTTATAGGCTAAAGACAACACTTTGAATTGTGCTCAGTAGCAGACAGGCAGACAGTCAACTGATGTAACAGGGGAGTTGTATGCTCTCTGTACACCACCCCAGTGGGAAATCTGGCTTCCACCCATTGGACCACTTGAAGCTTCCAAACAGTCTTCATAGGCAACCCCAGATAGACCTGCTTAACTCATTTTGGGAGGCATCAGATATGCAATTGGAACCACTGCAAAATTATCTTGGTTTAATTATCCAGGCATAGCCAGTCCTGTTTTATCTCTGTATTAACTGAGAATTAATGTCACCAGAAATAAAATTAGCAGCTTCAGATGTTTCACTTAACAATATCTTCAGCACCATCCACACTGCCATATAACGCACTTTCATAATTCAGTTTAACTGCATTATATGGCTGTGTAGAGCCATATAATCTAGTTCAATACAGTTAAACTGCATTATGAAACTGCATTATAAAAAAGCATAGTGTTATCATTTTAATGACTGAGAATATCGTATGTTTCTGATATTTCCCCAAACATGTTTCAAGATAAATTTTAATATAGATATGCAAAAATATATTTAATTCAGGTCAGGTTCGTCTTTAATTGGATAAGTTGCATCTGCATCTTTGCTATACTGTCATTGGAAAAAGAGGAGTTAACTAGTTCTTCGTTGAATGAGGTAGACTTTGTTCGCTACAGATCATAAATCTTCAAAAACTTTATACAAATTGTGATGCTTGATTGGCCTCAAAACCTGACTTGTTTTTGTTAACTCATTTTAAAGCAAATACAAGTTTTTAAAAAAATACATATATGTGTAAGGGCAATCTAGGTAATGACACTGGATAGACAACATGTTTTTCATCTGAACATAATTTGATCATCACTAGAAACTAGCTAATGAAAAGTACATTCCCTGCAATAGTTCACAGCAAAAGATGTGGAAATTCTGAAGATGGTTTTCAGAGTTTCAATTAACTTACCATTTTCTGTTTCTTTTTTTAAAGGTGTTGGGAAGAGCTCGCAAGCACAAGCCTGTAGTAAGTCCTACATTTATTCTAATACACAAGACCAACACACTAAAATGTTTAATTCTTCTTTAAATATCAGAATAACTAGTGATTGATTTCTTGTTAGGTTCCAAAACCGGAAGACCTAGCCATAATCTGTTTCACCAGTGGAACCACAGGTATATTTGTTGTAATTCTAAAAGTTGCTCTGAAAGAACAACAGCTATCTTAGGGGAATTGGGGTATTCTTTCTAGATGACAAAATGAAGAAACATGGGCATCTTTTGGTCCATAGTAAATTGTAAATATTGCTGAGTGTGTAAATGGCTTTAAATCATGCACTTAAATCATGCAAAAACTATACTGCAATCTTAACATAAGTTGTATTGTCAAAGGCTTTCATGGCCCAAATCAGTGGGTTGTTGTGACTGTTCTGGGCTGTATGGCCATGATCCATAAGCATTCTCTCCTGACATTTCATCTGCAACTATGGCAGGCATCCTCAGAAGTTGTGAGGTCTGTTGGAAACTAGGCAAGTAAAGTTTATATATCTGTGGAATGTCCAGAAAGGACTCCTGTCTGTTTGAGGCAAGTGTGAATGTTGCAATTGGACAGATGGTTAGCATTTAATGGCCTTACAGCTTCAAAGCCTGGCTTACTGCTGCTTGGGGATGCTTTGTTGGGAGATATTAACTGGCCCTGATTGATTCTTCTCTGGAATTCCCTATATTGGACTTAGAAGGTCTGTAAATAGAACCACTGGCCGCATAGGGAAACCTACAAACTATCTAAACCCACTAAGAAAATCCAACAAATGCTATGTTCAGCAAAAGACAAGAGGGCTCCTCTCACTTCTGCGGGTGTCTACCATATACCATGCAGCTGTGGACAAGTCTACCTAGGGACCATAAAAGGCAGCAGCACACAAACACGAATCAAGAAACATGAAAGGCCCTGCAGACTAATTGAACTTGAGAGTCAGCCATAGCAGAGCATCTGATGAACCAACCTGGACACGGCATATTATTTGAGAACCATTCTAACAACTCCCATATCAGACTACATAGAAAGCAATTGAAATCCACAAGCATGGGGACAAGTTCAACAAAAAGGAGGACGTCATGAAAATGAACAAAATCTGGCTAACAGTATTAACTCTAAAATCATGACAGTAGATAAAAAGCAACACTCAACAAGCGGGGAAATTCCAGACAAGAATCAATCAGGGCCACCTAACACCTCCCAACAAAGGATCGCCTAGGCAGAAATCAGCCAGGCTTTGAAGTTGCAAGACCATTAAGTGCTAATCAAGTTGGCCAGTTGCAACAGCCAGACTTGCCTCCAACAGAAAAGAATTCTTTCTCTCACCCTGACATTCCACAAATGTATAAGCTTCACTTGGCCAGTTTCCCACAGACATCACAACCCCTGAGAATGCCTGCCATAAATGTGGGCAAAACGTCAGAAAAGAATGCTTCTGGAACATGGCCTTACAACACGGAAAACTCGCAGCAACCCAAATGCTGTATTGATACTATAAAAACAGTTCTTCAACTAGATTGTTGTGAATCCAAAGTTATTGATAATGCATAAAGGCTTCTGGAGGAAGGGGAGGGTAAAAGTTACATAGAGGATGGGTTCTTCCAGCCTTTAAATGTCTTTTAGTAAAATATGAGGAAGAAGGACTACCTGGTTGAATTAATTTTGTATCTGTTTTCATGAACTTAACAACTTGATATTTCTAGGTTTTCACTATTGTGCCTTTTAACATGCCTTTTCCCTTTAGGGAACCCCAAAGGAGCAATGATTACTCACCAAAATATAGTGAGCAATATGTCAGCATTTGTGAAAGCTACAGAGGTAATCTTCACAGATTGAAAAACTAACAAGATTTTGGAGCATGTCTCACTTGGACAGGAAGCACTCAAATGAACCATGACTGCAGCTTTAGTCATATGTCTAGTACAGTATTATTATTGTTTTTAAACAACTTATTGTGTAGATTAATTAACAAAGCTACTGTATGGATTAATTTACAGTCTACTGTGATTTATAAAACACCCTGACCTTAAGGTTCACATAAATTCACAAGGTGTATTTGTTCAGAAAGATATACTGAAGCATATTATCCTGTGTCTGCTTTATTACTTAATAGTGACTTGGCTTTCTGCAGTAATATGAAATATTCCAATACTTGTTCATGTTCTAAGAATTATTTTCACTTTTTCTAGTCCAGAGTATAGATGTCTTTGAAATATCTTATCTAATATCACTCAGAATCTGTTCCTGATGTGACACTTTAGCCTGATGCTATCACAGTCCTAATTTTGGCCCTTGACCTAGACCTTTTTCCTCCTGGCATCTTTATTTGTCTGTGATTCCAACTTGTGACAAAGTGTTAACTACCTGTATTTACTCGAGTCTAATGCGCCATCGAATCTAATGTACACTTCAATTTTCAAAACTCCAAAACTCAAAAAAGTGTTTACCATATTATGTGAATATAATGCACACCCTAGTTTTGGGAAGATACTTTAGTAAAAAAAGAGCATTAGAATAGAGTAAATAAGGTATAACCACTGTTACTACTCTATTTGCAAACTGTTGTCTTTAACCCAGTGGTTCCCAACCTGTGGTCCATGGACCACCAGTGGTCCACAAGAACTAAAATATGGTCTGTGGCCTTACCATTACTACATTGTTGCAATGAGAGCGGCTGGTCTTTCAAAACCCTCTTATAGTGCTGAGACTTATAAAATATTGTTTTCTGTGGGAGAGCAGATGGCGGTTACTGGATGGCATATGTTCTGTATCAGAAACTAGAGCTGATGTGGTCTATCCAATGCAATTTTCAGATTCAGCACCCCAGATAACCAAACCGAATCTAAAGTTGACCAAAAACTGATTCGTAACCCTTTTGGTGCTAATGTTGAGGAGTGATCCCTGGTCAAGTAGTCCCTGGTCAAAAAAAGGTTGGGAACCACTGCTTTAACAGATGATTTAGAGTGTTGCAACTCAGAGTAGTTTTCACCTTGCTCCAGACACCACCACACCAAGGCTGTAGGTTTTTGTAATTTATTGAGAAAAGCAAAATCAAAACAAAGAAATAAAAATGCAATAGTTCCATAGGCAAAACAGAGACTTAAATGTAAAAGCAAAGTTCCCAAGATCCAAAGGCAAAAACATGAAGCATAATCCTTTAGCAACGGTCAAACAAAAGTCCATGGTAAAACAGTTGAAAACAAGACCCAAATCCCAGACTCAGGAAGTCAAAAGCGTGCTGCGAAATGCCAGGTCAAATCCCAGAAGTTAACATGGAAAGAGCAATGTTGGACTGACAACTGCCTGTCAGCTATAAGACTAAATACCCTTTGTGAACATGAAAGCATTGCGTTGACCTTGGGCACCTTTGGCTTCTCGCTTGCTGGTCAAGCAAGTGCTTCTCCGAAGCCTTAATGGCAAACGATCTTGTCTGCTCATTAATTCATTATCTGCAAGGCTATGCAACCCCTTATCTGGGTCCAGCTGGGACGGATCCTCCACCTGGCCGTGTGGGATTTCACTCTCGCTATCAGTCTCTCTAACTGCAGGAACATTCCTTTCCCCTGAAAACTGACTTACTGTTTCTCCTTCAGCAGCCAAACTATCAGCCCTGTCTGAAACATGTACATGAATCTGTAACCCATCAGCCTCCTCGTCATCCTGCAGGCCAAAGTCAAGCTCAGAAGGCCCAAACAGCTCAGCTTCAGACTCAGAGTCAAGCTGAGTCACAACATAGAGTTGCAATGGTTTAGTTCGTAGAAGGGAAAGCAAAAGATAGTTTAAACAACTCTCGCAAAAGGCATTTGTAGAAAAACATTTGATTAATAATCTTCAGAAAGTATCCCAATTCTGTATAGTTGCTGAATGGAATTAATATAGCCAAGAAGATTCATTTTCATCTGTTGGTAACAATCTGATTTCTAGGAACCATATTTAGTTTAAGCTTCCTGTCTCCGGGGAGCTTAAATGGCTTTGGTGCATTTTGTTCAACTTTGCCCCCTGCTTGTGCATCTCGCACAGTTGAGAGTCTGGATACAAGGGGTGGTTTCATTTCATCCTCATGATTCAAATGCTCCTGTCCAGTTTTTCAGTGATAAGATGTTCTTGCTGACTTTTATGGTATTATCAGTAATCCAGGATTAGACTTGAGACTTTTGTTCAGCTATTAAAGGCTGTCTTTTTAAAAGTGGGGGTTCTTAAAGATCTAGCTCAGGATCCACACATAACATTTAGTGCTGTCCTTTCCCCTGCCTTAAGGCTAACAGTAAAAATAAAAATAAAAATAAAAAAAACAGAAAGGAAGCGTGACCCTAAGCAAGTACTGTTTTATCTACGAGAATATAATCAGCACATGAGTTTCAGACAACTCGGGGATTTGATGCTGAAATCTTTAATATTCTATGAAGTGGCACCTAATTGTAGGTTTCCAAGTTGCTATTGTTATAGTGCACTGAGGTTGTCAAGATGAAAGAATTCAAGATACCACAAGCATGTGGACAATTTCAGCAGAAAGGAAGAAACCATGAAAATGAACAAAATCTGGCTACCGGTATTTAAAAAATTCTAAACTCATGACAGTAAATAAACAACACTCAGAAGACAGGGGGATTCCAGACAATACTCAATCAGGGCCAGCAAATACCTCCCAATAAAGGATTCCCCTAGGCAGGAAGCAGCTAGGCTTTGAAGCTACAAGGCTATTCAGTGCTAATTAAGCTGGCCAGTTGCAACATTCATACTTGCCTCAGGCAGACAAGAGTTCTTTCTCCCACCCTGGACATTCCACAGATAAATAAACCCCACTTGCCTAGTTTCCAACAGATCTCACAACCTCTGAGGATGCCTGCCATAGATGTGGGTGAAATGTCAGGACAGAATGCTTCTGGAACATGGCCACACAGACTGCAAAAGTCACCGCAATCCAATTAAAGATTTCTTTTTCCCTTCACTTATATTAAGCTATACTTAACCTACTGTGTCCAGTGTTCTTAAGGGAGTCTTACACTATTATTCGGAGGATGAAAATGTTGACTTCGCACACATAACAGCAACATCAGTTCAGTTTTAATAGGATATACAAAACACTTGGCCACATAATTGAGTCTAGAAATCAACACATACTAACCATCTTTACCTGATGCTTCTTGTGTTCTTTCTAAAGAGTCTGGTGATCATTTATAAAGCAGATAATGATTTTCTACACTGAAGGGCATCTCAGCCATGGCAACAAAAATTATCGTGAATACATTTCACGTCAGATCTTTCTAAAATGAAAGTTTTTGTTGCAAGAAGGAAGGGCTTTGGGGAAAGCATTGCTTTTAAGTTGCCACATAGTTGAGATGTACAATTGTCTGTTCTTGCACTATACCACACTGCTATTATCTGAATAATTTCCTAATGAGTTTCCGTTTCCTTCCTCTTCCTATTGCTGACAGAAAGCAGTTTTACCTTCTCCAGAAGATACCTTAATTTCCTTCTTGCCACTCGCCCATATGTTTGAAAGAGTTGTAGAGGTAGGCATTTGCATGTTTTATGTTCCTATTAAGCAGTCTCCTCTTTTGCAGAGTGGCTTTACACTGAATCCCAGTGACACACACATTTCCTATTTGCCTCTGGCACATATTTATGAAAAAGTAGTCCAGGTAAGTCTCCTTTGGGGTGGGGGAGCAGCGTTTGTCAATCTATCCCAAGTAAGTAAATCTGGGTAGGTTAAATTAAAGAAAATGGCTAAGATGTAAAAAGACGCAGTAACTATGTTTGGGATGATCATGGGATCATAGTACCAAAACATTTGGAGGTCAGATTTTTTGAGAGATTAACTTCAAAGACTGGTATGAATGCGCTTTCCTTCCCTAACCTTCTAAGGACTTATTTATTTATTTATTTAGCAATTTTGTATACCGGTCTTCTCACCTCTGTTGAGGGACTTGGGCCGGTTTCCAACAGTAATATCACAAACAGTCGTTAAAACATCATATTACATATTAAACTAAAACATTAAAATAGCAAAATGCAATCAGATAATTACAATGGTCAGTTGTCACAATAAAATCGTTGTTCGTCATTCGTCGTCATCCATCCATATCACAGAATATTGACTCACTCGTCAAATGCCAATCGCCATAGCCAGGTTTTCACCTGTTTTCTGAACGTCAAGATGGAAGGGGCAGTTCTGATCTCCAGTGGGAGAGAGTTCCAGAGCCGAGGGGCCACCACCGAGAAGGCCCTGTCCCTCGTCCCCACCAGACGCGCTTGTGAGGCCGGTGGGACCAAGAGCAGGGCCCCTCCAGACGATCTTAACAATCTAGATGGTTCGTAGGGGAGAATACGTTCGGACAGGTAGACTGGGCCGGAGTCTTTTAGGGCTTTATAGGTTAACACCAGAACTTTGAATTGTGCTCAGAAGCTAATTATGGTAATAAATTCTAATATGAAATTAGGCACGGGCAAATTAAGGCCTGCAGGCCGGACACGGCCCTCTCTGGGCACTTAATAATAATAATAATAATAATAATCGTTATTTATACCCCGCCACCATCTCCCTACTGGGGACTCGGGACGGCTTACATGAGACCAAGCCCAGACAACAAATTGCAGCAGAATAAAACCGAAAATGCAAACAATAAACAACAACATCATAATTACATAACACATATGAATACATAACAATATAAAATTACAATAAACACAATCACAATGACAATGGGTGGGCTACATGTAATGATTAAAAGCAAACTAATTAAAAACTGATTAAAAACTCAAGTGAAATAAGGAGAAGCAGGTTATTTGCGGAAGAGGGCTCATTAAAACGGGGGTTGTGGAATCAAGCTTTCCCACAAAAGGGGGGGATGTATACTCCAATGACAGAACGTTGAGGCTAAACAATAGTGTGAGGTTGTATACCTACTCACCAAAGGCACAGCAGAAGAGACAGATTTTAAGGTCCTTTTTAAAGGTTTCTAGGGTAGGGGCTTTCCTAATCTCTCCAGGTAATGAGTTCCAGAGTCGGGGGGGCACAGAGGAAGAAGCTCTCTCCCTTGTGCTTACACTTATGTCCAGCCATCAAAATTTTCCCCGTCTTCTGGGCATAAGGATTCAGTGGCCCCTCACATCCTTATGCCGAAAGGATGAGGGAGGGAGGGAGGCATGCAGCGGTTGGGAGCCCTCTAGAGTTCTCTCTGTTGCTGCATACCTTCCTTGAGCCCTCCTCCCGGCATAAATACAAGGCAAGTGGTCCTGTCCCACTGCTGGGAGAAGCCCAGCATGAGAGAGGAGGAAGGCAGTAGGCAAAGCGGCTCAAAAACCTACTCGGCCTGCTGCTTGCCTCTCCCTTTTCCTGGTGTCAGGACTAGGTGAGGCCCTGTCCTGATGACAGGAGAAGCCCAGCCAGGGCAAAGAAGCAAGCAGCGGGTGAGCAGCTCCAAAGCTGCCTCGCCTACTGCTTTTCTTTCTCTTCTCCCAGCATCAGGACAAGGCGAGGCCCCATCCTGATGCCAGGAGAAGCCCGGCTCAGACCAAGAAGGAAGCAGCAGGTGAAGCGGCTACAAAGTCACTTCACAAACCACTTGATTCCCCCTTCTCCCAGCGACAAGATGAGGCAAGGCCTGGTTCTGATGCTGGGAGAAGGAAAAGATGCAAGCAACAGGTGAGGCGTCTCCAAAGCTGCCTCACCTGCCTCTTGACTTCCCTTTCTCCCAGCATCAGGACGCTGGAAAAAGGGAGAGGCCAGTGGAGGCTAAGGGACCTCCCAAGCTTCACTGTCCTTCCAGTATAAGGAAAAGGGAGGAAAGGCTGTGGGTGGGGAAATCATTGTGAAAGCCAAGGGCTGGTGGCCTCCTTAAGCAAGACTGGCGCTTTCCCCTCTCCATATAATAACCTTCAACTTATCAATGTATCATATAAAAATCCATACAAAAATGGGATTTACTGACTAGACAGACAGTATTATGAGGAGCAGAATAATCAAGAAAGGGTCTGGTCACTGACTGAAATGTGGAGAAATTGTGGTAGAAAAACACTTAATGGGATATGTTATTGGATACTTTTGCGTTATTCACATTTGTCTGTTTTTAACTCTTTTATGTTTTTTTTCTACAGTGTGTGATACTCTGCCATGGAGCACGGATAGGATTTTTTCAGGGAGACATCAAGCTGCTTATGGATGACTTAAAAACTTTGCAGCCCACAGTATTTCCAGTTGTGCCAAGGCTGCTGAATAGAATGTTTGACAAAGTAAGCCCACAATCAATTCAATTTAATTGATTTAAATCTCCTTAAAAGCACAGAACCCTTTGGACTATGGGGGACTTGCCCTGTAACAAAAAACATGACCACAACAAGTATGCCTGGTCATGGATTCACTTATAGACAAATTTGTCATTGGTGGAGCAATGGGTTAAACCCTTGTGCTGGCAGGACTGCTGACCAAAAGGTCGGCAGTTCAAATGCGGGGAGTAGGGTGAGCTTCCATTTGTCAGTTCCAGCTTCTCGTGCGGTGATATGAGAGAAACCTCTCACAGGATGGTAAAGCATCCAGGCGTCCCCTGGGCAATGTCCTTGCAGATGTCCAATTCTCCCACACCAGAAGCAACTTGCAGTTTCTCAAGTCACTCCTGACAAGAAAAAAATTGCCATAAACGAGGGAAGGGTCTATACATCATCTTTCTTCAACTATAATAATATTTTCCTCTTTTCTCAGATCTTTAGCCAAGCAAACACTTCCTTTAAGCGGTGGATATTGGATTTTGCTTCCAAGAGGAAAGAAGCAGAACTTAGGAGTGGCATAATTAGAAATAACAGCCTGTGGGATAAAATGATTTTCCGTAAAATACAGGTAACTATGATTTTGTTATTTCCAAAATTTAGAGAGGTGATCAGTCTCTTAAGGAAAATAATATCCCAAGTGTAATAGTTTGGTGTTGAATGTGTCCTGCATTTTAAAAAATCTGTAATTTTTAAAATGTTGGAAAGGTTTTTGTATCAAGTCAGATTATTTCTCTAGCTCAGTATTATTTAATCCAATAGGCAGCATCTGTTCAGGTATCCCCTTACCTCTATGTGTAGATTCTGGGAACAAATATATACTTTTTACATGAAAACCCTGGACTTTGGTCCTTTTCTGAAGAATCATTTTCTCAACATCTCTTAAAACATGACAGAAGTCTTCTGCAGCACTGCTTTTTAACTGTGGGTCCCGACTAGAAATGTAGTCCCCTTAGCTCAGTGGTTCTCAAGCTCTGGGTTCCCAGGTGTTTTGGCCCACAATTCCCAGAAATCCCAGCCAGTTTACTAGCTATTAGGATTTCTGGATGTTGAAGGCCAAAACATCTGGGGACCCACAGGTTGAGAACTACTGCTAAGCTCAATGTTGGGGTCAGAAAAAAATTGGCAATAGTAAAAAGTTTCAAAATGCCAACCATTTATAGTGGACTATGCAGACATTTTTCTACTGTTTTCACAAAAAGGAAAATCTTCCCGTTTAATAAGCCTTGCAAATGCTGATTTATTATCAATAAATGATTGATATATTGTCAAAGGCTTTGATGGCCAGAATCACTCGGTTGCGTGATTTTTCTGTGCTGTATGGCCATGTTCCAAAAGTATTCTCTCCTTACGTTTCACCCACATCTATGACAGGCATCCTCGAAGAACATAGGATCTTTTGGAAACTAAGCAAGTGAGGTTTATATATCTGTGGAATGACCAGGGTGGGAGAAAGAACTCTTGTCTGTTTGTGGCAAGTGTGAACGTTGCAATTGGCCTCCTTGATTAGCATTGAATAGCCTTGCAGCTTAATAGCCTAGCTGTTTTCTGCCATTGAAATCCACAAGCATGTTTACAATTTCAACAGAAATGAGAAAACCATGAAATGGAGAAAATCCAGCTACCAGTATTTTAAAAAAAATCTAAAATCAGGACAGGAAATAAAGGCAAGAAACAATCAGGGCCAGCTAACACCTTTCAACAAAGGATTCCCCCAGGCAGAAAACAGCCAGGCTTTGGAGCTGCAAGGCCATTCAGTGTTAATTGAGCTGGCCAGTTGCAACATTCACACTTACCTCCAACAGCCAAAGAGTTCTTTCTCCCACAAATATATATAAACCTCACTTGCTTAGTTTCAAATATACCTCACAACCTCTGAGGATGCCTGCCATAGATGCGGGCGAAACATCAGGACATAATGATTCTGGAACATGGCCATGAGGATAATTGCAAAAACCACTTGATTTAAATAGCAAATAGTAAGCTGGAACAGGAAAAAAAATGTATTTCTTCTTGGTCGTGGTTTGCATTCTGTGATTTTCAAATATCAGATTGTACAATGGACCCTTGGTGTCGGCTATGGTTTGGTTCCAGGACCCACTGTAGATATCAAAATCCATGGATGCTTCAAGTTCTAGTGTATCATAGTAAAATGATGTCCCTTATATAAAATTGAAACATCAAGGGTACCTTTTGGAATATTTTCAAGCTGTGGGTGATTGAATCCATGGATATAGAATCTGTAGATATAGAGAGCCAGTCTGTGCCTGCGATTAGTACTATGCCCCCATCTAGTTAAACCTTCATCTGAATATTCTTCTGCAAACATGTATAGCCTGTCAAGTCATTTTTTTAAAATGCTGGAGTAAAAGTATCATGTGTCCTTTTTTTTCTTTTTTTTTCTCCTTTTCTCCTTAGGCGAATCTGGGTGGCAAAGTCAGGCTTATGATTACAGGAGCAGCTCCTGTTTCGGCAAACGTGCTGACATTCCTAAGAGCAGCCCTTGGCTGTCAGGTGAGTTTGGATGGTGTCTAGAGGGCCAGTCAATGTCCTCTGTAAAACTACTTTAAAGCTCTTTATGCCAAAACTCTAGACATCATACTTTGTTCAAAGCCATAAGTTTAATATTTTTTTTGTATCAGGAGCGACTTGAGATTCTGCAAGTCACTTCTAATGTGAGAGAATTGGCCGTCTGCAAGGACATTGCCCAGGGAGATCTGGATTTTTTTTGTGATGTTTTGCCATCCTTATGGGAGGCTTCTCTCACATCCCCGCATGGGGAGCTGGAGCTGACAGAGGGAGCTTCTCCACACTCTCCCCGGATTTGAACCTCCGACCTGTCAGTCTTCACTCCTGTTGGCAAAAGAGTTCGACCCATTGTGCCACTAGGGGCTCGTAAATTCAATTGTGAAAGAATAAAATCCCAGTCTCAGCCAGAGGGAGGAGGGAGATGAGTTTCAGTAGAACAAGGACAGGACAGGGAATCAGATTTACAAGCTGATGTTCTTCAGATTGTGGAGGAATGAAAATCTGATCATGAAGATAATAAAATAATAACACTTTATTTATATTCTGCTGTTCTCCCTGAGGGGAATCAGCGGATTACAGTATATATACACACAGGTAAATATTCAGTGCCTTGTTACAAATGACATACAATGAGACACAAATACACAGACAAAGGTAAAAACTTCTCCTTTCATTTCTGGCTCGGAGGCAGAGCTCATCTCCGGCTTTGGGAGAGGTGTTCTTTCACCATTTTCAAGCCAAGTAGCCTGTGCCTGTAGACACCTCCTGATCACGTGGCTGGCATGACTGCTTGAAGCGTCTTTTTGCTTTTCCTGCTGAAACGGTATCTATTTATCTACTCACATTTGCATGTTTTCGAACTGCTAGGTTGGCAGGAGCTATGGCTAACAGCAGGAGCTCTTCCCGTTCTGTGGATTCGAGCTGTCGACCTTCAGGTCAGCAGTTCAGTAGCACAAGGGTTTAAGCCATTGCACCACTGCAGCCCCTTGAAGAACTATCTTTCCCAATAGAAGATAATTTTAAAATTACATTTACTGGGATTAGGGGTACATGATGCCCATGAAACTGAGGAAAAAACACAGATAAAGAAATTGCTAATTTTGTTTACCTGAGATAACACCTATCTAGGAATTTCTTGGTGTTTTAGCATGACTCTGGTCAACATTTGCTAGAAATTGATTATAAAATTACACGGGAGAACCCAGATTCCTAGAGAGGTATTCTTTCTAGGTCTTCAGATGTCTCTGTAGGAAGCTGACCTTAGAGTCACACTGGAGGACCTAGAGAGGACATTTTAAGTCAAATCCATGAATAATCAGATCTGCAAAAGTCAAAACCACAAATGTGGAGTGACAACTCTACTGCTAGTTCTAAGTTTTTAAACTTAAGAGCAATTTCTCAGAAATGCTGCTTGTTCATTTATGAATTTTCTTTCAAATCAATGTACTGGCATTAAGTAGTCTCTGCTATGTGTGTATTACCTACTGCTGGGAAGCATCCATTCCAGATACAGCTCTATAAGAGAGATTGATGGTTCTGCCACTTATTAATCTCAGCCTTGACTACATTGTTGAATCAGTTCATTGTCTTATCAAAGGCTTTCATGGCTGGAATCACTGGGTTGCTGTGAGTTTCCTGTCTGGAATTCACCTGTTTCAATCAAGAAACAATCAGGGCCAGCTGACACCTTCCAACAAAGGATTCCCCAGACAGGAAACAGCCAGGTTTTGAAGCTGCAAAGCCATTCAATTCTAATCAAGGTGGCCAATTGCAACATTCACACTAGCCTCCAACAGATAAGTGTTCTTTCTCTCACCCTGAACTTTCCACAGATATATAAACCCCACTTGCCTAGTTTCCAACAGACCTCACAACCTCTGAGGTTGTCTGCCATAGGTGCGGGTGAAATGTTAGGAGAGAATGCTTCTTGAACATGGCCATACAGCCCAGAAAACTCACAGCAACCCAGTTCATTGTCTATTTACAATTAAGTTTCAAGAACTGCAGTTGACCTAGAGAAGCTTGTGCTGATTACTACCTAGAAACTGTTTTGTATGAAATTCTTACTAGAGGTTATTTAAAGCTTGGAAAACGGGATGACATGCCTTGAGTACAACAGGTGTACAGGAATTTTGCACATGGCGATCCTGCCTTCAGTTCCTGTGTTATGGGAATGGTAAAATAGTTTTGTATCAGGTGAGAGATCCTGATGGGAAAGTGCAGTGACTAACTTACATATTCTGTTAACAGTTCTACGAAGGCTATGGACAGACAGAATGTACTGCTGGGTGCTCCTTGACATTACCTGGTGACTGGACAGCCGGTAGGATTTGTGTAACTTATTTTCAAAACATTGTAAAATAACATGAGATATCATACTCTCTCAAATATGAAATAGTAATTTTGAAGAAGTTTTAAAATATAAATGTATTAGACGTGGGAATCAATTCCATGTTAAACTGACGAGAATAATTGAGTCTTATTGTTTGGTTTGGCTAATCCAGTGATTTCCAGATGTTGGACTATCAGTATTCCCTGATCATTGGCAGTGTTGAGTGAGGATAGTGGGAAATGTGATCTGAAAAGTGCCTAAAGTCTGAAACCACTGTGATAGTCTCACAACTGTTCACACAATGCATTTGCCCATAAGTACCTATTTTTAATGAGTTGGGATTAAGCCATATCTTCAAAAGGTAGTAGAGAAGATGAGGAACATTCCCTTTGAATCTTCAGATCCTTTCCTCCCTAGAGATAATGCTTGCCACATATGATTAACCAACCAAGTAATTATTAATTATGTATGGCAAGGGAAAAAGTAATTAGTTATTTCATAAACCAGGTGATGCAGAACATATCATCACCTGAGAGCAAGATAGCCTGTACCTGAAGAGAGGCCCAGGCTTTCCAGGATAACCATGAGCCAGACTGAAATACATTATTTATGTTGAAAGTTACCATGGAGTCTCGCTGGAGGACCTGGAAAATTCCTTGAGTAGTATTCTTCCTAAAGAGAGACTTTTTTTTATTAAGTCACTTTCTGTTTACTTCCTGTTTAGACTGGTCCCCGGAGTTTAATACATCTGACAAAATGTATCCTCTTCGGAATTTTCTAGGCCTTTCAGCAAAACTCTGTGGTAACTTCCATTGGAATAATCTGTAAGACCTAGAAAATATTCAAAATGTGAAGGCTTATTTTAGATACTTTTGTGGTTCAGCCAGAGGCTGAAGATGAAGGGATTGTTCAGTCAGAGGTTGTGAGGACTGATGGGCTTTCCAGTGTGGGAAATGAGGGGATTTTAGATCACAGTTCTGTCTGGAAGAATGGGTCTGTGTCTGATGGAGATGGAGATGCTGTGGCATCAGAAGATAGGGAGAACCTTTCCCCTAGTCATTCCTTGCCAATGGAAGATAAGGAGCTGGAAGGGAGAGATCTTTCCCCTAGGAAAACACCTGAGGTCAGTAGGAGTTGAGGCTTGATCTCTGGGAGGAGGGAGCTAGATTACGGAGGTCACAGAGACTGAGTAAGAAATCCTTAAAACAACAGAGTGATAAATCCTTGAAACAATAGAGCAGATGTCAAAGACATGACTTCATGGTCCTTAAATTAAAGTGTTGTTTACTAAAAGAGTTAGAGCAGGCAACACAGTGTAACCATGTGTACCTTGGTCTTGTTCCACAATCAAGTCTATGTTTAAGCTCTTTGGGAAAGGTTTATGCTCATGTTCATGGGTTCATGTTTTGGAAGAAGTTCCCAAATTCCTGGTTATGGATTGATGCTTATGTTTTGATTCCTGATTTTTCCATGTACCGTGTCATTTTGAAACAGAACTCTGATGTATGGACTACATGAGAATTCTGATGGTCTTTTTTTCCTATTTCTTTTGGGACATTGCTTTTTATATTGCCTTTTTGCCCTTGTATATTTGCTTTCTTCAATAAGCTGTTTAGTTAGTAATACTGGACTCTTGCATGGTGCAAAGATGAATCCAGGCCAGAGGGAAACAGATACAAAATAATCTCTGTACCAGTTCAGGGGTCATCCTGTATCTAAAATAAACCTTAGCATCCAAGTCTAGGTGCTGGGTGACTTTTTCCCCTTAGCTACTCCTAAGAGTAGCTTTCGAAAACACTGCAAGATTTTCTGGGCATTAAAAAAAAAGAGCTGATGAGCAGTGAAGGAGAATAGTTATTATACATATTTATTTATTTATTTATTTATTTACTTTGCTTGTCTACCGCAGTTTCTCAGCCCGTAGGCAACTCAACGCGGTTCACAACAAGAGCAAAAAGTCAATCCAACAACATACAAAATTTAAAAAACCATTAACAACATAATATACATGGTAATAACGCATCAATACCAACACAATACAAATCGTGATCCAATTCGTCATCCATAATTCCGTTCCTATATTCCTGTATCCTATATTCATCGTGTACATTGCACTGTTTATATTTACAATATAAAATATACAAATATTTATATTTACAGTATATTGCAGTTGCCAGTACAGAATCTTCCTCTTATAATGGAAGCCAGTATTTAAACTATTCAACATACAAGACACTTTTCAAAATGCAAGTAAAATATGTGGATAAATATGAATGTGTACTGGGCAATAAAGATTCGTATGGAAATCTCCATGGTTGCATCATTTAGTAACCATGGAGATTGCTATATGAATGTAGCAATGTGCTATCCAGATCTTATTTACTTATTTATTTATTTATTTATTTGCAGCATTTCTACCCCGTTCTTCTCAACCCCCGAAGGGGGACTCAGGACGGCTTACATTTGGCACAATTTGATGCCATTAAATATAACAACAATTAAAACAATAAATAGAACATTAATTAAAACAAAAACAGTATTAACCACTCTATCACCATTCCAGTCAAATTCCATATCCAAAGCGCTATTTATGCCTGCTGTCCAAAAGCCTGGTCCTAAAACCACAACTTCAATTTCTTCCTAAAAGACAGGAGGGATGAAGCCAATCTTATCTCGTTGGGAAGCGAGTTCCACAGGCGGGGGGCTACAGCCAAGAAGGCCCTGTCTCTCCTTGTAGTTGTGAAGAAGAAAAAAGAGATGATCATGAGTAAACCTTTGGGCAAGAAATCAGAACAGAGTTTTAAAATTTAAAATATAAGATATTATCTGCACCTTGCACACTGGTGGCATTATTTGTTCTGTCCCTTCTTCTCTGAAAACTCAAAGCAGATGTCTTTAAATCTGGAAAACACTATGCAAAAAATAATGCCATCCAAAGGATGGTATACTCCTTTGGTAAACTGAAGACTATAAAAGCTTGGTACCTGAGTCTCTTTGAGGACTATAAAAAGACTATAAAAGCCATTTTGACTCTTCTTTGTAGAATAATAATATCCTGGGTATCCTTCTATACCTAAAAATGCATTTTATTCGATTATTAGGTCACGTCGGTTCCCCAATGCCTTGCAATTTCCTAAAGCTTGTTGATGTAGAAGAAATGAATTATTTTGCAGCCAAAGGAGAGGGTGAGGTAAGTGATGCCCTAAATCCAAGGAGTGGCAATATGCCAGCACTCAGGAGTCCTGTCTCAAATTTGCACACTAAAGTGAATTCATTCTGCATGGGAGATAGCATGGTGTAGTGGTTTGAGCATTGAACTAATGCTCTGGAGACCAGGGTTTGAATCCTTGCTCAGCTATGGAAACACACGAGTCATCTTTTCTCAGAGACAAATAAATCTTGCCAAGAAAACCCCATCCTATGCGTAACATATTTTCAGTTCATTTCAAGCTTAGGGTTGGCCAAAGTTTGAAAACCCCCTGGAAAGCACACAACAGCATCATATTCTGGGTCCTTCAAAAATCAATTTTGAAATGTTCATCTATTATATTAGATTGTACACATTCAACTAGATAATATGAAAACAACAAAATTCTTATGTATATGAAAGAAGGATATGTCAAAGTGTGATGATATATTTCAATTTTAAAAAGGTAAAAAAGGTTTCTTTGGAAGCTTGGGCCAGCTTCACATTAATAACTGATGATGATGATGATGATGATGATTTGCAAAGACTCTGGCACGAGCCAGTAAAGGTAGTCCCAGTGGTGATCAGCACACTGGGTGTAGTGCCTAAAGAACTTGGCCAGTACTTAAAAACCATTGGCGCTGACAAAATTACCATCTGTGAGCTGCAAAAGGCCACCCTACTCGGATTTGCACGCATTATTTACCGATACATCACATAATCCTAGACACTTGGGAAGTGTCCGACGGGTGATCCAATATAACAGCCAGCAGAGTGATCTTGTCTGCTGTGGGCTCATCTTGTTGTGTTTCAAATAATCATCATCATCATCATCATCATCATCATCATCAATACAACAGCCAGCTTGGTGATCTTGTTTGCTGTGTACTACTCTTGTTGTGAATAATAATAATAATTATTATTATTATTATTATTATTATTATTATTATTATTATTATTATTATTATGTGTGATTGATATGAACTTTACTCAGACTTTTAGGTGGACATAGTGATAGTAATAATTATAATATGTTATTATACTTATAAAAACGGCTAGGTAAATTCCCTGATGCAATATAAAGGTTGACACAGGTTTCTACCAGCATGAAAACTAACATTTTGAACATGCACATTTTTTACTCTCAAATTTTCAATTCTGTTTCTCTTCTCAAGGTACATTTTGTCCTTCTTAAATGGAAATTAACACAGATCCATAACAGCATAATTATGCCTTGGGTTTTACAATGTACCATCTCTGCTTTTCAATAATTGTCATGCTCACCATAATGGATTTTTTTTCTTACGTGGGCGCTGAAGTCAATATATATTTTGCCAGGTTTTCAGTTGGTTTAATTTGTCTATTAATTGTTCTATCTTTTGTTTCTACGGTCTCATTTTTCTTTCTTATATTTTGTGGTATTGTTATAAGTCACCTTGAGAGCACTTATAGAGGAGGCGCTCAAAGGCAATATGCAAACGTCTTCATAAATAAACACCTTTAAAAACCCATTTGGAGGCCATTTGGGGAGAGGGCTCGCCATCCAATTTAATTGCTTTGGATTTTGATCTCAAATAGTGCAACTAATTTCATAATGTCAATAAAAAATAAGATTAGAGCGAACACTTCCTGAGTCTACTAGCAGTAAAAAACAAATGTTTTTCTTGTTTCCTACTGCAACAATGAGTAGTGAAAAACCAGCACTCCTTTGCAGATGTTTACAGAATGCATATCAATTTTTTTCAGGTTTGCGTAAAAGGGCCAAATGTATTCAAAGGCTACTTGAAGGACCCTGAAAAGACCGCAGAAGCTCTCGACAAAGATGGCTGGTTACACACTGGAGATGTTGGTAAATGGTTACCGGTAAGCAAACCTTTGGATTGTCAGGGAATTACTCTTTTGTTTCCTCAACCCCACCCACAAACCCAATAGTGTCTTAAGACCCATCTAAACAACAGATTTAGTTCCTTCTTACCAGAACATCTCTTCTTTGAGATGCGCGTGCAGAGGTATATATTTATCTTGCAGTGTGGTTTACGTAGGCCGATAACATAATCTAGTGGAGACATAATTTGCCTAAAGTATTCAGATAAACTAGAGAAGACAATTATCCTGGGGAAAGTGGAAGGTAAAAGGAAGAGGGGCCGACCAAGGGCAAGATGGATGGATGGCATCCTTGAAGTGACTGGCTTGACCTTGAAGGAGCTGGGGGTGGTGACGGCCGACAGGGAGTTCTGGCGTGGGCTGGTCCATGAGGTCACGAAGAGTCGGAGACAACTGAACGAATGAACAACAACAACAATTCAGATAAAGTCTTTGTCTTGCATAAATCTGACAATTAATTGTATGCATTATGGACTAGGCTTCTGAACAGAACTCACGTCTTTCTTACTCCGGATTTTAGTTAATGATATGGATTTGCTGTTTAAAATAAATGGGTTTTAATCATTGAAGTTGGCTGACTTTCCTCTTGTGTTACAGAATGGTACCCTGAAGATCATTGACAGGAAAAAACACATATTTAAACTTGCACAGGGAGAATATATAGCACCAGAAAAAATAGAAAACATCTATTCGAGGAGTGAACCTGTTGCTCAAGTTTTTGTCCATGGTGAAAGCTTGCAGGTATGTGTCTGTTTGCCTGACATCTTTAGAGTGGAACATGTTTAGAAATAAAAATATTGAATAGGCAAGTGAGGTTTATATATCTGTGGAATATCCTAGGCAGGAGAAAAAACTCTTGTCTGCTTGAGGCAAGTGCGAATGTTGCAGTTGGCTACCTTGATTAGCATTTAATGGTCTTGCAGCTTCAAAGCCTGGCTGATTTCTGCCTGGGGAGATCCTTTGTTGGGAGGTGTTAGCTGGCCCTGATTGATTCTTGTCTGGAATTCCCCTGTTTTAAAAAGTATTTAAAAACTCTAAAATCAGGACAGTAAATAAAGAGCAACACTAAAGAAACAGGGGAATTCCAGACAAGAATCAATGCTTCTGGAACATGGCCGTACAGCCCCGAAAACTCACAGCAATCCAATCATGAAAGCCTTCGACAACACATCTTGAATATGTTTTCATCTCCAGACATTGTTAGAGTTAGAATAAGGGCTTTATTGCCAGGTGTATTAGAGAAGCAAATAGGTCTATGTTTGTGCTGATACTAATGTGTACACTTGGCTACGAATGAAAGGAAACTGATACTGCACTAGACACCTACATAGTAACACCATCAGTGTTTTTAAAGAGACAGGAAGTATTATTCTATAAATGTTCAGTCTTAAATTCAAAGGCCTTAGACTCTTGGTAAAGGTTTATTTGTTTAAATATTTTATTTGCCTTTCCAGCTTGAAGCCAGGGTCAGAATGAAATAAAAACTTAATAGCAAATGCAAAAAAAAAAAAAAAAAAAAAAGCCCAGTAGGTAGAGCAACAAGATCCAGGCACCAGCCAAACCATAAATGTGTTTGAATAAAAGTGTTTTGGGATTTATTTATTTATTTAATTATTTTATTGTATCAGAAGCAAAAAAAAGTTTTTAAAAGAACTTGGCATTATGCTAAATGTCCTTTGACCAGAATCTGGCCACTTGGAGTGCCTCTGGTGTCGCTGTGAGAAGGTCTTCCATTGTGCATGTGGCAGGGCCCAGGTTACATTGTAGTAGGTGGTCTGTGGTTTGCTCTTCTCCACACTTGCATGTTTTGGACTCCACTTTGTAGTCCCATTTCTTAAGGTTGGCTCTGCACCTCAAGGTGCCAGCACACAGCCTGTTCAGCATCTTCCAGGTCATCCACTCTTCTGTGTGCCCAGGAAGGAGTTTCTCATCCAGTCTCAGCCACTGATTGAGGTGCTGGGTTTTCACCTGCCACTTTTGGACTCTCGCTTGCTGAGGTGTTCCTGCAAATATCGCTGTAGATCTTAGGAAGCTGTTTCTTGATTTAAGGCTTTGGCATTTTGGCTGATATCCGAACAGAGGATGGGCCAAAGATATCAATGCCTTGGTCCTTTCATTGCTTCCCAACGGATGTCAGGTGGTGTGATACCAGCTAAACAGTGAAATTTCTCCAGTGGTGTGGGGCGTAGACATCCTGTGATAGTGTGGCATGTCTCATTAAGAGCTACATCAACAGTTTTAATGTGGTGAGATGTTTCCCACACTGGGCATGTGTAGTCAGCAGCAGAGTAGGGCAGATGTCTTCACTGTGTCTGGTTGTGATCCCCAGGTTGTGCCAGTCAGCTTTCGTATGATATTATTTCTAGCACCCACTTTTTGCTTAATAGTCAAGCAGTGCTTCTTATAAGTCAGAGCATGGTATTTGGGTGTGCTGCAATGCTCCAGTGGGATTCCTTCCCAGGTAATCCTCAGAGCTCGGGATGCTTGTCTGTTCTTAAGATGAAAAGCACATGTCTATGTTTTAGATGGATTAGGAATCAGCTGGTTTTCCCTGTAATAGGCAGTAGGAGCACCTAAAACTTCAGAGAGCTTCTGTTCTACCATTTCAAAGCTCCCTGCTTGAGCAGTGATGGCACAGTCAACAGCATAGATTAGACTCTTTGTCCCTTCTAGCAGTGGCTGATCATTTGTGTAAATGTTAAACATTGATAAAGAAGCACCACCATGTTTCAGGATGAATAAATGTGAAAAGGGACTGGCCTGATTTCGGCATCTTTGTCTGCTCTATGGTGTGATAAAGATTGCTTCTTGTCAGTGCTTTTTTGAATAAAAAACATGATGAGTCCAGTGAGCAATTTAACCAAGTTCCCTTGCTTCTTTTTTAGGCTTTCTTAATAGCAATTGTCGTTCCGGATCCAGATGTATTATCTGGCTGGGCTAAGAAAAAAGGATTAACAGGATCATATGAAGAACTATGCAAAAACAAAGTAGGTGGATCTAATCTGGGACTATAGCCATCTCTCGCTTTCTTTATTCCTTCCCAGAATTTCTGTGTTTTCTGTTATCATGCTGAGATAACATACAAAGTGAGAGTGGATTTGCATGTGGGGTATATCATTCTCTCTCTTTTTCGGTGTTTAAAAATCATTTAAATTGCCTTGAACAGGCAGGATTACTTTTAATATATATGTGTTATGGTGACAATTTTTATGCTTACATTGTTTTGTTAATCTTATGGTTATGTTGTTTACTCTGTATGTATTATGATGTTACTTGGAAACCGCTCTGGGTTGCCTCAGGGAGATAGAGTGGTATATAAATAAAGTTTTATTATTATTATTATCCTTTTCTGATGCCTATAACCTACATATGTTATTAAATGATATATCAAAAAACCCCTAAAGCCATAACATGATGAGAACAGAGAAGAGAGCAATTACAGTAGAATAGACAAATGTCTAGAAAAAAACAATAGTAATGAACTCACAATTAAAACATTAGTTAAATATATCAAATTATAAACATCCATTTAAAATTAAACAAATACAAATCCAGAGTCATAATCCAAGGTCTGTCCATTGTCAGTCACATAAGTCGTTTACATTATTATCGCTACGCTTGCTGCTCAAATGCTTCGTCCCACAACCAAGATTTAAGTTTTTTTCCTAAAGGATAGGAGGGAGGGGGCTGACCTGATTTCGATATTCTACAAATTATTCAGCAACACATCTCCTCCTTTCTCTGTAACACTGAATTCTGGATCTCAACAGGACATCAAAAATTACATTCTAGAAGACATGCTGAATGTTGGAAAAGAATCTGGATTAAAGTCATTTGAACAGGTAAGGATCTGAAATATCTTTCTGCAACTGAGCTGTATATTTTCCAATTAAACCACTGTGGCCCTAAGTTGGTTAATTACACCATGTAACAACATTTGAGAGGGAAAAAGTGTTCTTGGTTTGAAAATGTTATTTTCTGTTTAATTGTTGAGGACTTACTTTGAAAGTCATATTTAAACTCCAGAAACTTTGTGTTTGTGGCTGCCATAACCTACGTTGCATTGGGTGAGATTCTTATGAAATATAAATTTAAAAAATAATAGCAAAATTTGCTGCAGGATGTCCCACAAAAATTTTTTTTTTTGTAATTTAATCAACTTTTCCCATGTTTTTATGACAGAACCAATTAGGAAATGGCACTCATAACCCAGGAACAAAAATCATGTTACATAGTATTATTTATTGATTAATAAGGGCATTATTCGCCTAGGATTTACTCCATGGAGATAATTTACAAACTTGGATACTAAAGTGTCTGTAGTTCTTAAATGCTGTAAAATCCGCTTCAACTTATGATGACCTACCGGCTGTTAGGAATTGTGGGAGTTGAAGTCCAAAACACCTGGAGGGCCGAAGTTTGCCCATGCCTGATACAGAGTAACCTGATTCTGCTTATTCTTAAAATTAGTATGCTTTTGTATGCTGACTTCTTCCTAGAAGCTTTGCAGAGTGGAGTTAATGTTGTTGTTTTTTTCCAGGTCAAAGGCATTGCCCTTCAGCCGGAAATGTTTTCCATCGAGAACGGCCTGCTCACACCGACATTAAAGGCGAAAAGACCCGAACTCCGCAAATACTTCCAGTCCCAGATAGAAGAACTCTATGCTAGTAACAAGATGTAACCGATTTTTTAAAAAAATGAAAAAAAACTGTTGGAGAGAATAGCATTTGCTATTGACCTTCATATCAAGAAACTGATCACAACCAACATAGGGAAGAGAACTGTGCAATCATTAACTCGTACGCTTAGGGGTACTCAACATAGGAGAAACCGACGAAAAAAAATGGAACACTGCCTTACTGTCCATTTTTGTGTTGCAGACCATTTTTATAGTGACATACAACTTCCTCAATGCGCCTTAAAACTGTAAATGGTATCTATATGATTTGTAAATTATTTAAGATTTCTTCAGCCAAAAATGTGACTCTTTCCAAGGCATGTAAAGGAATTATGTGTATCGCTAGAACATTCATGTCTTTTAAGGATATTGTACAGCTAGTGGTGGATTCCTAAAAGATTTGCCATATGGAAATGTTTAGGTTTTATCATGAAAGAGGGATGCTTCCAAAGGAGTGCCCCAGATCGGTGTTGAATCTTGAACTCAGGCAAAATTCTGCCTGCCTTGTTCTTTGTGGATGACTTGGAAGCTTTATTTTAATTTCTGTGTATCAATGAACCAGCCACAGGGTGGATGATCGGGTATTTTAACTTTAGGATTAGGTGGACAATGTCATGTGCCCTAAGGAACTGAGGCGAAGCTGCCCCGTGCGCTTTATAACCTCTAAAGGAATTGGGCCGTAGTCATGGCATGCTATAGGGAATGCATGTGGATGTTGATGGAATTCCAGTATAGGGGTCACTAGACCCCCATTTTGCCCCAGGTTGCCATCATAGAGCAGACCTGGCTTCTTATCACTTCATTTACTGGCTTTTGTACAAAATCTGCCTCTCATCCATTCAATAGAGAACTGAAAACATACAAGTAAGTACCTCAAATGGAACTGGTAGCATGAGAAAATGAGTATGTAGTAAGTACATACAGGAGGCAGAACGTGGGATGTGGTTTAGCGTTGGACATGTTTTCACCGTAAATGGGGAAGGAGACCGGAGTTACCATGTATCTATAAAAGGGGAAGGGGATGGACTTGAAATGCCTCGTAGTAACCCATGCTTGAGTTTTTTCCCCCAACACCGCAGTAATTAATTTCTGTCAGATATATGTAAACAAGCACAACTGAGTTTGCACTAAAGATTGTGTGATTGTAACGCACTACCCAGCTGCATAATTTCATCCCCGTGTACCCCTAATTGCACAACAGTATCCAAGCTAATCCTCCCAAGTATTAAGTCACTTGTTACATTGGAATTCAAATGTTTGCTTAGTGTCGGCTATTTCTATATTTTATAAACCAAAATTTCCAGAAAACCAATGAAGGAAACCAAAATAAATATTTCTGCTTTTAATCTGCGTAAACCTTTTAAAATTGTGCTTAAATTCTGTTATGGTTTGATGATGCGTGCAGGCCAGCAGGAGGTTAGTCCTTTGTATATTCGAAAAAAGAGCAACACAAGTAGATTAAATACAAAGCTTAAATTTTACTCTCGTGCAGCAGAGTTCATGAAAAAAACAGCAACTTCAACACAAACTTTCTAGTTAATGATACAGTCACAATTCCTCTGGAGTATCAAACTTACGTATTGTCCTTGCATTTAATTCATGCAATGCTTTCCATCAGAAAATATATCATCTCATTGTCTTCATTTCTTGTTCATGGAGACAAGCATGGAAGACAAACTTGCCAGCGTTATATAGGCTGTAAGCCATGAGCTTGCAAACAGTAAGGCCAAAGTACTATTGAAGGCTTTCATGGCTGGAATCACTAGGTTGGTGTAGGTTTTTCGGGCTGTATGGCCATGTTCTAGAAGCATGACGTCCTGACATTTCACCTGCATCTGCGGCAAGCATCCTCAGAGGTTGTGAGGTTTGTAGGAAACTAGGAAAATTGGGTGTATTCAGGAAACACAATATACAAACTATCTACAGACCCACCAAGAAAATCCAACAAATGCTACGTTCAACAAAGGACAAGAGGGATCCTCTCACCTCTGCAGGAGTCTACCAGATACCATGCAGCTGTGAACAAGTCTACATAGGGACCATCAAACGCAGCATTGCCCAAACACGAATCAAGGAATATGAAAGGCACTGCAGATTAATTCAACCTGAGAAGTCAGCCATAGCAGAGCACCTGATGAACCAACCTGGACACAGCATATTATTTGAGAACACACAAATGCTGGACCACTCTAACTACCATGTCAGGCTACATAGAGAAGCCATTGAAATCCAAGAACATGTTTTGGCCTTCAAACTGGCTTGGATTTCTGGGAGTTGTAGGCCAAAGCACCTGGGGACCCACAGGTTGAGAACCACTGATTTAAGTCATTAATAAAGATGTTGAACAGGACAGGGCCCAGGACGGGACCCTTGTCCCAAAAGTAGTGACAAGTGGAGTGCCACAGGGTCCCGTCCTGGGCCCTGTGGCACTCCACTTGTCACTACTTTTGGGATTCAGCCCAGTAACACAAATCCAGTAGAACCAGCAATGAGGAATGCTGGGGATTGGTAGTGCACTAACATCCAAAGAATGTGGTTCCCACCACATGTGGAGTCTTCTTTCATGGAAATCGAAACCTTCTTTTACTCAGGCTGCAGTTTCAATTTCAAGACAGATTTAGAACATATTGACTGTGTTAATAAATAGGAAGTGAACTATTGGAGATCTTAACCTTTTGCTGCCTAATGTCCTAATACCACGTAATAGAATTTGGGAACTCTTCTATTTCAAAAGAAGTGAGATCTACATATTATAATTCCAGTAATGGTAAATTCTGCAACACTGAAAAAAAAGACATTCTTCTTATTCGATCTTATTCAATCACAAGCCCTTACAACTAATTGAAACATGGGAAAAGAACATCTGAGCACTGGTTGACTAAACATGCTCTAACTCAGATTGTGACATTTATTATTTTATTAGCAAGAAATAAGGTGAGACATTCCACTCTGCTCAGGCTTCATATTTCTCTTAAGAGCCTACTTGCAAAGTCACTTGTTGTGGCGAGGAAATAATATTTTTCATAATATGTATGTTGTTTCAAGCTATTGTAATGCAAAGTATTTAGTGGATGGCCTGATGTTGAACGAGCAACAAAATATTATTTACTTGACAAAAGACCTGATTGTGAAGCACATGAAATCAACTACAACTGGTTTATTAATAGGTTGACAAATCTGCCTGTATTTTTGGATTCTCTGCAGAGCAGTAAGACTAGTTTTGCTATGGGTGCAGTTAGGGAGGAGACCTTGGTTGGATTAGTATATGCTTTAAGTCATTCCCAATTATCTTTTCCCATAGCATTAATCATCACAAGTGAGTTCCTCCCACTGCCCTTTAACCTAATTTATGAAGAAGCCATAATTCCGCCTTGCCCTAACCTCTCAGCAGCTTGCTGAAACATGCCCTGGGCTAGCATACAAACCTTTAGTAATGCAGGCTGTATGTTTATAGAGTGCTATGGTTCACACAAAAGTGCACACATGGGGTACAACTTGAGAGCTGCTTATGAAGAGGTGAATGTGGCATACTGGGACTTCAGTCCTGGCTGCCATTCACCACATCTCATCTGCACCGTTCTTTGACTGCTAACTGAAGTTATGAGTAGTAATTCTATGGTATCTCAGTGAAAACTCATTTCCATCAGCTAAATGCAGCTCTAAACTATAAACAAGACAGAGAGGTTACAGAACAAACTTGTTTTCTTACCTAATAAACATCATTGTAGATAACTGTAGATGTAGATCCTTGTAAGGTGGAATCAGGTGTCAAACAGGGATGTGTTATTGCCCCAAACTTATTTTCCATCTCCATTGTTATGATACTACATCTTGTTGATGAGAAGCTTCCCACCGGAATGGAAATCATCTATCGGACAGACGGCAAGCTATTTAACCTCAGCAGACTGAAAGCCAAAACCAAGTTTACAACATCTCTTATAGAACTCCAATATGCTGATGACAACGTCATCTGTGCGCATTCAGAAGAAGACCTACAAGCCACTCCAAACACCTTTGCAGAAGCATACAAGAAGCTCTCATTGAACATCAAGTGCTCTTCCAGCAGTCACCAGCCAATCCCTCTCCAATGTCAGAAATACAACTTAATGGTGTTAACATTAGAAAATGTTGACCATTTTCGCTACCTTGGCAGCCACCTCTTCACAAAAGTCAATATTAACACTGAAATACAACACCGCCTGAGCTCTGCGAGTGCAGCATTTTTCTGAATGAAGCAGAGAGTGTTTAAGGACCGGGACATCTGTAGGGATACCAAGGTGCTTGTTTATAAAGCTATTGTCCTCCCAACCTTGCTATATGCCTGCAAGATGGACTGTCTACAGACGTCACATGCAACTCCTGGAACAATTCCATCAGCCTTGCCTCCGAAAAATCCTGCAAATCTCTTGGGACAACGGACAAATGTCAGCGTGCTGGAAGAAGCAAAGACCACCAGCAACTGAAGTGGTCCTCCGCCATCAACTCTGCTGGACTGCCACGTTGTCCGTGCACTCCACCATCTCCCAAAGTAGTTACTCTATTCTAAACTCAAGAACGGAAAACGGAATGTTGGAGGACAGGAAAAGAGATTTAAGATGGGCTCAAAGCCAACCTTAAAAACTCTGGCATAGACACTGAGAACTGGGAAGCCCTGGCCCTTGAGTGCTCCAGCTGGAGGTCAGCTGTGACCAGCAGTGCTATACAATTTGCAAAGGTACTATTGGAGGGTGAAAGAGAGAAACGTGCTAAGAGGAAGGCATGTCAAGCCAATCCTGATCGAGTCCACTTTCCACCTGGAAACCAATGCCCTCACTGCAGCAGAAGATGCAGATCAAGAATAGGGCTCCACAGTCACCTACGGACCCACCGCCAGGACTCCGATCTTAGAAGACCATCCTACTCGGACAACAAGGGAACCCCTGTGCCGGCAGGACTGAAGACTGACAGGTCGCAGGTTCGAATCCGGGGAGAGGCGGATGAGCTCCCTCTATTAGCTCCAGCTCCTCATACGGGGACATGAGAGAAGCCTCCCACAAGGATGATAAAAACATCAAAATCATCCAGGCCTCCCCTGGGCAACGTCCTTGCAGACGGCCCATTCTCTCACACCAGAAGCGACTTGCTGTTTCTCAAGTCACTCCTGACACGACAAAAAACAAAACAAAACAAAACAAGGGATTGCCTAAGTAAATAAGAAACCATTGAGTCTGTTTTTTGTAAAACCATCTTTGCATCACAACAGTAATGCAAATAAAATAATGTAGATTTGCCTGAACATATAAAAAAGTGTCCAGAAGAGAGAAAACTGGTTGTATTCTCAGTCCATAATTCTTTTTTTTTTTTTTTTAGGAAGAGGACTTTTTTTGAAGGATAACATATATTTGGCTCCGCTTTGAGAAAAGCCAGTGCCATCCCTATGGAAATATTTGACCCGACGCTTCACCCTCCTGCCACATGGTGGCGCTGCCCCTCCATTCTTGCATTCCTAACCCAGGATTATCTCAAGAGGAAGCGGCGGACCAAACCAATTGGCGGAAAAAAGGGGTAGCTGGGCAAGACCCGTACATATACATACCCCTTTACTCTAATTCTGCCGACCGTTCCTTGTGGCACAAAAACACAAAAAAAAATTGGTAGCAAACAAAACGGATCCGAAACAAATGAGTTCAATTCGTTTAGCTCAATTGAGTTCCCCCTTCCTCTGGGTGCTCAGTTGGGACATTCCCAGCGCGGCAATTTGAGTTTGGACGGCGGGAAGAAGCAACCGGGAGGGAAAGCGCAGGTGGGTCTTCGATTGGGTTCTTCTTTGATGGCTCCCCCCTCCTCGACTTAAGGCAGGGGGTTGGCGCGCGGGAGCCGGAAGGGCCTAAGAGGGCTCAGGAGGCGCGCGAACGCTATTTGAATTTGGTTTTTTTCGGCATAGGGATTTCGCAAGGGGGGGGGACCTTCCGGGAATTCTGGGATTGGCAGTGCGGAGGGGCGTTGAGGACCCTTCTCGATTCCACAAGAGAGAACTCTGGCAGTTTAGGTGGAACTGTTGAACTCTCCAGTTAAGGTGGAACTCTGACATTAAGGTGGAGCTGTGACAGTTAAGGCGGAACCCTGCCAGTTAAGGTGGAACCGTTGGATTCTGCCAGTTGAGATGGAACCCCGGCAGTTGAGGTGTAACTGTTGAACTCTAGCAGTTAAGGTGGAACAGGAGCAATTAAGGTAGAAGTGCTGAAATAAAGTGGAACTTAGGCAGTTAAGGTGGAACTATTGAACTCTGGCAGTTGAGGTGGAACTGTTGAACCCTGAAAGTTAAGGTAGACCCGTGGCAGTTAAAATGGAACTACTGAACTCAGGCAGTTAAGGTGGAACTATTGAACTCTGGCAGTTGAGGTGGAACTGTGGCAATTAAGGCGGAGCTCTGCCAGTTAAGGTGGAACCGTTGAATTCTGCCAGTTAAGATGGAACTCTAGCGTTTGAGGTATAACTATTGAACTCTAGCAATAGTTAAGGTGGAACAGGAGCATTTATGGTGGAAGTGCTGAAATAAAGTGGAACTCAGGCAGGTAAAGTGGAGCTATTGAACACTGGCAATTAAGGTGGAACTGTTGAACTCTGGAAGTTAAGGTAGACCTGTGGCAGTTAAGGTGGAACTTAGGCAGTTAAGGTGGAACTATTGAACTCTGGCAGTTGAGGTGGAACTGTTGAACTCTGGAAGTTAAGGTAGACCTGTGGCAGTTAAGGTAGATCTGTGGCAGTTAAGGTGGAACTATTGAACTCTGGCAGTTAAGGTAGACCTGTGGCAGTTAAGGTGGAACTATTGAACTCTGGCAGGTAAGGTGGAACTATCAAACTCTGGCAGTTAAGGTGGAACTATTAAACTCTGGCAGGTAAGGTTGCACTCAGGCAGTTAAGGTGGATCGATGGAACTCTGGCAGATAAGGTGGGACTGTTGAACTTTTGAAGTTAAGGTAGTCCTGTGGCAGTTAAGGTGGAACTATTGAATTCTGGCAGTTGAGGTGGAACTGTTGAACTCTGGAAGTTAAGGTAGACCTGTGGCGGTTAAGGTGGAACTATTAAACTCTGGCAGGTAAGGTGGCACTCAGGCAGTTAAGGTGGAACTATCGAACTCTGGCAGTTGAGGTGGAACTGTTGAACTTTGGAAGTTAAGGTAGACCCGTGGCGGTTAAGGTGGAACTATTTATTTATTTATTTATTTACTGTATTTGTAGACCGCCGTTCTCAGCCCTAGGGCAACTCACGGCGGTGTACAACATATAAAAACAATTTACAATAAAGGCAATATCACAACAACACTATCAATAATACAATTACACTAAATCATTCGTGACGTCTCATCATAGAATCATAATCCAATCTCGTTTTCCATATTCCGTTCCAATCATCATTTCCAATTGTTGTAGCACTTAGTCAAACGCCTTCTCAAACAACCACGTCTTTAGTCCTTTGCGGAATGTCATAAGGGAGGGCGCCTGTCTGATGTCTACAGGGAGGGTGTTCCATAGCCGGGGGGCCACCACCGAGAAGGCCCTCGGTGAACTTTGAACTATTGAACTTTGGCAGGTAAGGTGGAACTCAGGCAGTTAAAGTGGAACTGTCGAACTCTGGCAGTAGAGGTGGGACTGTCGAACTCTGGCAGTTAAGGTGGAACTCGGGCAGTTAAGGTGGAACTATTGAACTCTAGCAGTTAAGGTGGAACTATGATAGGTAACAGTTAAAGTGGGATTTGCTATAACTGAAGTGCAAAGTGTAACCCACACATCAAAATGTGTGTGTGGTGTGTGTGTGTGCATAGCCTCTGTCTGCTATAGTCATTTGTGTTCCAGAATACCCTTCCTTCATCCCCAAAATATATTCTGGAGCATGGCTTCTTAAATTTTTTTCAACTCAAAATCTATACGCAACCACAGATATATAATATGTATACAAATCAAACCTTTACATTCCATAAATCATAATTCATTTAAAAACAAAGTACTGTTCCATTATCTGGGCAGAAACCACAAGGAAATGCCAGACAGAGAAAGATATTCCATTTTACAGAGGGAGAGGGGGTTGAGGAGTTAAATAATTTCTTCCTATTTTTCCATTATTCCCCCCACTAATGTCTCTATCTTTGAAACAACGATKATTTATGATATGGGAAAAGGGAGGAGGATAACCCACYAAAATTGGGAAAATGGTTTTCCTCCTTCAACCCCCCCCCCCCCCCCCCCATTAAATGGGCTATCCTTCTCTGTCTAGGCCCCCAATTTGGAGTCCACCTGGATAATGGAACAGTACCTAAAACAATTTGGTATTTTTAAAAGTGCGGGATATGGCTATGCAGTCGTCCTTCCACATTTGCAGTTTTGACTTTTGCGGGTTTGATTATTCATGGATTTGATTAAAAAATGTTCTCATGTTTGTGCTTCAAACCCCAGCGGATGTGAAGGGTTGGCTGTAATTTATATCTGTTGAAAGATCCCGGAGGAAACATCTGTTTCACTAATGTGCATAATAAAAATTATAAAGTAGCATAAACACCCAGCATTGGCCAGATGTCAGAGGGGCTGCTGCCCACCTGCTTTCTCCCTTCTCCAGCTCTGAGAAGGCCTACCTCTGGTGCAGTGGTGGACAGGCTCTCTTTGTGGCACTTTCTTTCCTTCTTCCCTTCCTCTCACATGCCTTTCCCCCTTCCTTTCTTTTCTTCCTCCCCCCCTTCCCTCCCTTCCTTCATCCTTTCTTTTTCGCTTCTTTCTCTTTCTTTCTTCCCTTCCCTCCCTCCCATACTTTTCCCCTTTCCTTTCCTTTCTCTTCCTTCACTCCTTCCCTCTTTTCTTTCTTCCCCCTTCCTTCCTTCTCTTCACTTCCTTTCTTCCCATCCTTCCTCTCATACACGATACCTTTCTTTCCCAGTGATATCACAGAGGACCACTTCACCTAGCAACAGCCAATCTTTCACCTAGCAACAGCCTTTGTGGAGCAAACAGAAAGACATACCGTATATACATACTTTGATTTTTAGATAGATAGAGCCAAAACCCTAAGTCTATGGGCTGCAGAGCCATTTCATAAAGGAAGTTAGGTCAATTCTGTTGTTATTGAACTTTCGATGCTCATTCAAAATTGTATTGTTCCACTTGAGTTTTTTAAATGTTTTGAATAGTTTTCAATCTGTTTTAAAATAATGTTATTATATATAGAGAGAGAGGGACGGAGGGAGGGAGGCTTTTTTGGGGGCAGTCAGTTGAGAATATGTAATAAAGCTTTGAGAAAAGACGCGGGGAAATACATACTGATCTGCAAACATCAAAAGAGTGTATGGTGAAATAATTTCACCAGTGATACTTAATCTGACCCAAACCTAATGATATATGGCAGGGGTCCTCAAACTAAGGCCCAGGGGCCGAATGCGGCCCTCCCAGGTTATTTCCCCAGCCCTCGCTTAGGGTCAACCTAAGTCTGTAATGACTTGAAAGCACAAAACAACAACAACAATCCTATCTCATCAGCCAAAAACAGGTCCACACTTCCCATTGAAATACTAATAAATTTATATTTGTTAAAATTGTTCTTCATTTTAATTATTGTATTGTTTTAAAGTGGTTTTTGCACTACAAATAAGACATGCAGTGTGCATAGGAATTCATTCATGTTTTTTTCAAATTATAATCTGGCCCTCCAACAGTTTGAGGGACTGTGACCTGGCCCTCTGTTTAAAAAGTTTGTGGACCTCTGATATACAGTATAGCACTGTCCAATTTGTTGAAGGGGATTTAATGGCAAATGGGCTGGGTGTTAGCACAGCAGGTTAATCACCAGCATCAATAAATCTTAGCAATCAAAAGGTTAGCAGTTCGAAGCCTGGGTTGGGGTGAGTACCCAATCTTCAGCCCAGCTCACTGTTCACCAAAGCAGTTTGAAAACAGGTGTGAGCTGTGAGTAGAGAAATTAGGCAGTGTTTAAGAGGGGAGGTATTTTACAGCACCATAAAGGAAATATCAGAAAAATTCCAGCGATCAAAGAAAGGAGGAAGTCTGTGATCAAGGCTCTTTGTCATAGAGGATGGAGCAACAACACCCCCCTGTGGCCAGAATCCAGCACAACCTCCAGGACGCCCAAGTTGGGAAAAATGTCAACATAATTCCTCTATCTGTTCTCTGTCCTGTCTGTTTAATGGCATTGAATGTTTGCCATGTATGTGTTCTGTAATCCAGCCTGAGTTTTCTTTGGGGTGAGAAGGGCTGAATGCTGTAAACAAATAAATAAATACAGCTGTAATTTTAAAAAAGCTTCATAATAATCCTTCTCTAAGATACACAGTTGAAAAAAGTGAGGTGTTTCCTTTTAAAATTATGTGTTTTTCCCTCTGTTTCAATAGAAGATTTAAATAGGAAAGAAATGCCAAAGAGAAAAGCAAAAGATTCCAGGAAAGGACCAAGAGTAAGTGATCGATGTATTTTTTAAAATTGATAAATGAAGTATTTTCTTGGTTTAATTATATCAGTGACCTGTAATATTTTTTTAAAAAACTGGCTTGTAATTGTTACATTGGGAATCCATTCTTTCGAGATAGTTCCTGGTTAGAAACATTTATTTTATATTTACTGACTGTATCAGCTTTCTGCTGTATATTATGAGAACCAATATTTATTGAAATAATCTTTCCTTGTTCAAACCCGCTATTCCAGTTTTATTCCTATTACACTTATTTAGACTGAAACCAGCCTATTATTATTATTTTCTAAAACTGTCTACAGTAGATTTTATTATTATTATTATGTTTATTATGTTTATTTATATGTTGCCTTTTCTCTCAAAGCGGCTCACAACTGAAAGCATTTCAATACAAGTTAAAATATTAAAACAAGGTTGCTGTGAGTTTTCCGAGCTGTATGGGCATGTTCCCAAAGCATTCTCTCCTGACGTTTCTCCCACATCTATGGCAGGCATTCTCAGATGTTGTGAGGTCTGTTGGAAACTAGGCAAGTGGGGTTTATATGTCTGTCAAGGAACATGTAAGGCACCACAGGCTAATTCAACCAGAAAAGTCTGCCATAGTAGAGAACCTGATGAACCAACCTGGACATGGCATATTATTTGAAAACACAAAAATGCTGGACAACTCTGACAGCCACCATATCAGACTACACAGAGAAGACATTGAAATCAACAAGCATGTGGACAATTTCAATAGAAATGAAGAAACTATGAAAATGAACAAAATCTGGGTACTATTTTTTTTTAAAAAAAACTCAAAAATCTGGACAGTAAATAAAGAGGAACACTCAGAAAATGGGAATTCCAGACAGGAAACAATGAGGGCTAGCTAACACCTCCCAACAAAGGATTCCCCTAGGAAGCAACTAGGCTTTGAAGCTGCAAGATCATTCAATGCTAACCAATTGCAACATTCACACTTGCCTCCAACAAGAGTTCTTTCTCCCACCCTGGACATTCCACAGATATGTAAACCTCACTTGCCTAGTTTCCAACAGACCTCACAACCTCTGAGGATGCCTGTCATAGATGTGGGTCAGGAGAAAATGTTTCTGGAACATGGCCATACAACCTAGAAAACTCACAGCAACCCACTGATTCCGGCCATGAACGCCTTCGACAAAAGTATTAAACAATATTAATATTTAAAAAGTTAAAACCATAAAAGCAGATAACATTTTCAATGCTCCTTTTTCCAGGGACATGAAGTCAAGTTGCAATGTCATAGGAAATTGGATTCTCCTGATTATCCAGATGTGTCAAGTATTTTGAAAGTTCCTGGAATTGGCCAAACAGAAGAGTTTGACAATGCGTTTGGTTAGTGATTCAGTTTCACATGTTAAAGTTAATAGTCTACAGTGGCTTGAGTTGTTGCATATCGTGGTAAACCTTAGTCATCTTATGAGCTTTGATTAGAGTAGACGTCCCCCACCCCCTTGTGGGAAAGCTTGATTCCACAACCTCTGCCATGATGAGTACTACTCCGCATATTATCTGTTTCTCTCTTTTATCTTGTCTGAGTTTTTAATTAATTTTAATTAGTTGTTTTAATAATTACATGTAGCCCACTCATTGTCTCTGTGTCTGTGTCTATAGTAATTTTTATATAGTTATGTATTCATATGTTCTATGTAATTATGATGTTGTTTATTGTTTGTGTTTTCGGTTATGTTTTTTGGTTCACTTTATTGTAATTTGTTGTTCGGGCCTGTCCCATGTAAACCGCTCCGAGTCCCCATAGGGGAGATAGTGGCGGGGTACAAATAAAATAATAATAATAATAATAATAATAATAATTATTATTATTATTATTATTATTATTATTATTCTTTATTTGCATCATCTTAAACTCAGAAGTAATACCTATCAGTGGATCATACTACCAGGTAAGTGTGTATAATATTTCAGTCTTAATGGATAGAACTGGCACATTTGAAGACCACAGAACTTTATAATGTGCTTTTAAAAGAAGCAATCCCCTAAGTACAATGATACACTGAATTTGTTTCTTTAAGAACCTCATCAATTTTCTTTTCAATTTGGTCACTTGATTGATAAAACATTGTAGACCTACTCTCTGCTTGTCCTTGGTTCTATACCCTCACCTCACCCACATTGTGCTTCTGTAGTTATATTTGTATTTTTAATGTACTAAACGTACCAAGTTTGTATGAAAATGTGATTTCTATTTCCTTTGCTGGTCTATGACTGAAATAAATGATTTGATTGATTGATGATATACAGATTTAGATAATAAAACTGCTCTGTCAGGAAAAAGGTTGTGAATAAACATGATTGTACTGCATCCAAGCAAGAGATAATTTAAAGCCTACAACATCTGGGCTTGTTCAGGGCTCAGACTCCATTTTAGAGCTCAGACTCCATTGGACTTTCAGACTAGACAGCGACTCCATTAGACTCTCAGAACAGAGAGGTGTTTTAGTTTTTGGACTGTTGATTATAAGAAAGATGTTCTGTGTTATCTGCACAGAGAAACTACTTCAGATTCGATCTGTAACTTGATTGATATGCGAAGTACCTGTATGCTGAATAGATGAAGTTTGTGAGTAAATCAACTATGTTACTTTTAAAGAAATCTGCTTACTTTTGTCTCTTTAGAGCATGATTTAAAGACAAATATATTTTAAGCGAGAGTAGATGTTTTTTGGGCAACTAAAAAAACACTTTTGAAACTCTGCTAGATATGTTTTGTGCATTGGCATATCTGTGTCCCTAACAGTTCAATGACAGTTTGACAGCTGAGAAACCTAATTGCCTTGCCTAAAGGCCATTTTCCCAAAATGTTATGATTCCAACAGGTCATGCTTTTACCAAGAGGTTATGGCATCGTTTTTCAAAAGGTTATGGCTTCTAACAAGTTCATTCCTTTTCCAAAGATCATAAAATCTCCAAAAGGTTATGGAGATTTCCATTTTCCAAAAGTTTGGACACTGAAAGCTGATACTCATGTATGATACTGTACAACATGGTTCCCCAGTAACCTCCCTGAAGCCATGTCCTGGGGAATTGACAGATCCCTACTACACTGCCATATAATCCAGATTATCAAAACAGATAATCCACATTATCTGTTTGAACTGGGTTATATGAGTCTACACAGCCATATAATTCAGTTCAAAGCAGTTAATCTGGATTGTATATGACAGTGTAGAAGGAACCTCAGCTTCAGTTGGCTCAACAATGCTCATTTTAGGATCTGAGCTATTTTAGGATCCGAGACATCAAAATAATCAAAAATTACAGAGATCTGGAAGTGACAAACAATGCAAGCCAGGCTTGTTTATTTGCGGTTTTCTGCCTCCTAATCATAAGGAAGAAACAACAAGAACACAACAGGGAAGTTTTTTTCCCGTTTTATTTAGACCCTCCCTTACATAGCACTGCTGTGTCTGACTATGGAGGAGAAGAAGAGGAGGAGGGAGACAAAGGAGAAGAGGAAGAAGGGAATAAGGATCTGGATTCAGAAGCTGATGGTTCAACCAGCAATTCATCTGATTCTGAGCCAGAAAAGAGAAATACAAGAGAAAGGTAATTCAGACTTGAAGAATGCATTGTTTTAGTCTTGTCTTTGCCTGGAGTTTTAGCACACAACTTTGTGGCTTTCCTGGTGCTATGTCACTATTGGATCATTTGGAGATTCTGTCTTTTTTCATTTAAATAACCTTTTAATTACTCTTATCTTGCTATGGTTTAGTTATCACTTTAGGTGTGAATATCCTGCTTTCTTGTGATTTGTGCAATGTGTTTGTGCAGGTTAAAGTGTATTTCATTTGGCTTTATTGTAAACAGAGTCGCTTGCAGAGAGAGTAAGCAGGGTACAAATAATAATAATAATAATAATAATAATAATAATAATAATAATTTAAAGTAAGGTGAATAGCAAAATAGTAGAGTTCTGATATAATCCTGTTCAGGATTCATTTCCAGAGAAAACATGAGGTTCCAGAAGGTGTGCAGACTGAATGGAGTGAATATACAATTTTTTAAAGGTTAATACACAAAAACAGAACTGGGCAAGTGTTATTTTATGGGGAAACACATAGTGGTACACTGTGTGTTCATCTTCCCTATTGAATGGAGGTGGTGGTATAACACCATATAACAAAATATGAAACATTTTCTGTTCCTGGTTTGAAAGTGTTATTTCCTGTTTAATTATGCGTTACTTTGAAAGTAGTTGTTATACTCCAGAAGCTTCATTTTTGTGACTGCAATTTTTAACTTTTCAATGTGCCATTTCTAACTTTTCATGTGCCATTTTTAACCTTTTGTGCAGACCTCAAAAACAGTTTTTGCAGTTTAATGTTTTTCCATGTTTTGTAATAGAACCAATTAGGAAATGGCATTTATAACCCAGGAACAAAAATCGTGTTACATAGTGTAATCGTCTTCTTAAAAAAATCATTTCATTTCAATGAGATCCTTGCTCTTACATAAATGGACCAACAATCAAACTCCTTAGGAAAGAAAACACTATAAAGATGACATCTTGATCACTCAATTGTGTTTGCCTTTCCTAGGAAAGATCAGCATAGTGTGAAATCAAGAGTGGCAAGGAAAGATCCTCAAAAGGACCATTTGATGAAGAACATGGTATGTAAATTATATACATTTTGTGCTTTATTTTTATTTGTGGAGTGGGGGCAGGATATTGGACTTTGGAAATACATGACAATTGCAGCTGACAAATATTTTAACTGGATATTACAACTAAGTAAAACTTGCATGGTTTCAAGGGAAATATCATGCCAGCTAGGTTCACAAGAAATATAATTTACACTATGTAACAAAATTAGGGGGAAAATATGTTCCTGGTTTAAAAGTGTTATTTTCTGTTTAATTGTGTGGTGCTTACTTTGAAAGTAGTTGTTATACTCCAGAAACTTTGTTTTTGTGGCTGCCACAAACTCTGTTGAATTGGTAGAGACACAATGAGAAATTCATTGAAAAACTATAGCAAAATATGCTGCAGGATGTCCCACAAAAACAAAGTCAGAAAACAAAGTTTTTGAGAATAAAGTATAAAAGGATGATGATGATGATGATGATGATAGCACTATACAGGTGTCACTACTAATCCCCTTGGGGAGATAGGGCAGAATATAAATAAATAATAATTATTATTATTATTACTACTACTACTACTATTTTTCTAGCGGTATGCTAAAAAATTAGATTGCATCTGCATAGGGTTTTTTCAAAGCCTTGCACCTTAATCTGAGAGTAATCTTAAGTTTTTCCTGTTTAGAGGGCAGCAGAATTTACATCCAGTGCAGAGGACTTCCAATTGCCATCTGCACTGCCATTAGGGAGCAGTTCTTCACAATTGAGCGTACATGACAAGAAAACACCTTCTGTGATTAATTTGAATGCAGATAAGGTTAAGAGTAAGCGTTATTTTGTTGTCTCATGCTGATGGGCATCTCCGTCCTGAAGACAAATAGTTGTGCACATAGTTTTCTATATCAAATCATGCTTGTTTTTAATTTAGAAGCAAATAATAGTTGCATGGAGATGTGGCACCTTAGGGTTCAGGTTAGTGTTCACTTTTAGGCTTTCATAGATCTCTGTATTAGGGCTGGGCAATTTCGTTCGTTAATTTCGTAATTCGTTATTAATTCGTTATTTTTTTTTATAACGAAGCGATATTGAACCATTCAGGAGCAACTAAAAAACGAAACGAATTTTTCAATTTGTTTCGTAATTGTTTCAAAATCGTTTCGAAATCGTTTCGTTATTATTTCCGCATGTCTGGTGCAAGTTTTAGGGTTGCTGTTTGTTTTCTCAGTGAAAAAAAAATATAATTATCACACCAACAGTCAACAACAGAGGGAGAGGGAAGCTTCAGAAGTTCCCCCTGTCCCATTTGGAGGTTTTTTAGCGTATTGCGCGGTCGCGTCCGCCATTAACGAATCGATTCGTTATTGTTTCGTAATTTCCGAAATTTCGTAAATTTCGAACTTTTTTAAAGAAAAATTTCAGAATTCTTTTAAAAATCGAAACACAAAAACCCCCTAAAAACGAATCGAGTTTAGAAACAAATTTTTCCGTGGTTGCCCAGCCCTACTCTGTATATCTAAGTTGAAAAGGTGCTGTGGGGATAAGTGTATAACCATCTTTGGCACTTTATTCATTGTCTTTCCTGTGCATATTTTTCAAAAACTAAGGAAAACTGCAGCTGTAAATGGTAGATCTAGTCTAACTTCATCATTCCTGTTCCTGGAAAATGTGATTTCCTCCGGACTTAAAATACATTGCTATTTATCTTAACAGATGTCTAGGAAAAGTGCTAAATCCCAAAGGAAACAGAAGAAGGCCTCAGCAGACATGGAGGAGGATGACTCAGGTCAGGGGCAGGTTCTACATGTTTTCTTTATATTTATGTATTGAATATTTTTTTCAGGTCTGAACAGGTTTGCTATTAAAAGGCTCATTAGCCCTGTGTTTGCTGGGCACAGTGAGAAGCTACAAGCATGTTACCATGGCATGATGGTAATTAAGATTTCCAAAGCAACAAAAAATTGCATAAGATGTTATGTGCCATGTATACCTATATATATATATATATGGCATAGGCAAACTTCAGCCCTTCTGGTGTTTTGGACTTCAACTCCCACAATTCCTAACAGCCTACTGGCTATTAGGAATTGTAAGAGTTGAAGTCCAAAACACCAGGAGGGCTGAAGTTTGCCCATGTCTGATCTATAGAATTGGAAGTAATTCCAAGACCTTTAGGGCAGGGGTCCTCAAACTAAGGCCCGGGGGCCAGATACGGCCCTCCAAGGTCATTTACCCGGCCCTCACTCAGGGTCAACCTAAGTCTGAAACTACTTGAAAGCACACAACAACAACAACACAATCCTATCTCATCAGCCAAAAGCAGGCCCACACTTCCCATTGAAATACTAATAAGTTTATATTTGTTAAAATTGTTCTTCATTTTAATTATTGTATTGTTTTAAAGTGTTTTTGCACTACAAATAAGATATGTGCAGTGTGCATAGGAATTCATTCTTTTTTTAAAAAATTATAATCCGCCCTCCAACAGTTTGAGGGACTGTGACCTGGCCCTCTGTTTAAAAGGTTTGAGGACCCTTGCTTTAGGGTATGGGTGGATAGCTCGTATAATACTGAAGACTTCTTCTCAAATTATGTTCACTGTTTTATTTTTAAATCCAGATGATCCACATTTGGCTGAAGTGCACGTTCCCAAAGGGAAGAAAAAACGTGCCAAGCGTGTCACAGAATATGAGTTTATTCTGGAGGAGTTTGACGAAGTAACAGAAAAATACAAGTAAGCATGTTTTCTTATGACTGGAAGAAAACTGTAATAGTCACACTGAGATTTTTGGGAAATGGAAATCTCCATAACCTTTTGGAAAATGGCATTCAGAACCTTTTGGGAAAACCAGGACTCTCCCTAAGAAGAGTTAAAATTTGCTTGAGTCAACCTTCTCCTTAGTGGTAAATATGCACTTGTATTCATGCAAGGCAGTTAGGTTTCTCAGCTGTTAAACTGATATACCCAGATATCCTTTTGAACTGTTAGGAACAAAGATATGCCAATGCACAAAAATACACATATGGTAGAGTTTCAGAAGTATTATTTCAGTTGCCCAAAAACATCTTCTCTCCTTTAAAATATATTTGACTTTAAATCATGCTCTCAAGAGACAAAAATAAGCTGCCTTCTTTAAAAGTAACATAGTTGGTTTACTCACAAACTTCATGTATTCAGCATATCAGTCGAGTTACAGATAGTAGTTTCTCTGTGCAGGTAATGCAGGACATCTTTCTTATAATCAACAGTCCAAAGTCCAAAGCATCTCTATGTTCTGAGAGTCTAATAGAGTCTCTAAAGCATTCTGTTTCTACTGACTTCTAAAAGCATCGTTTCTAAAATGGAGTCTCCTGAATAATCCTCGATCTGATCACATGGTCTGCAGCCCCTCCCACAACATAGAGTTAAGGAAAACTGCATACTGTATAAAATACAGTAAGAAATCTCAATTATATAATTAACAAATAATTTGTATAAGAGGCTTGTAGAAAGTTTCTATTTCCAACAGAGAAAGAATTTAATATATGCTCTTTATCTCTCGTTATGCAATAGATAAATATATAGCTGAGTTGCTCGAACACATACAAACACAAGAAAGTCATGTTCTGTTATGAATACTTGTGTTTGCATTTTATTTTTGGTGGCAAATGCATATTCAAAGCTATCAAGTGTAAGATGCGTAACACTAGCCGTTCTAATGTTATGATTTTTAAAAATTTCAATAACAAGAAAATGTAGACTTCTCAAACACTTATCTCACTTCAAGTTTAACCTTTTGCACATTTATGTGCCTTCAGATCCTGTCGACCTATGGTGACCCCCATAAATTTTAGCGTTTTGATTGGCCCGGAAAATTTAAAAGTGGTTTTAGCAGTTCCTTCCTCTGAAATATAAGAGTATGTATTTTTCACTGACAGTTTCCAATTTAAATACGTTCCCATTGGTGAGGATACAAATTGAATCAATTAAAAATCAAAACTATCTGATTCAATTTGTTCATAGTTAAGTAGATAAGAAGATAAGACATAGTTGGACTATAAAAGCCAGTTAGATTGATGTATGGAGTCACTGTGATTGAATTCATGAAAGTATGTACCTGAGGACTGTATGAAACAGGTTGTTACCAAGATTTCTCTCACATATTTGTACTTCTTTAACCTGCTAATTATTTGTCATAATTATGTATTTATTTGCTGAAACCAGAACTAAATAAGCATATTATTGGAATTACAGTAGGAATTAAACTTGGTAGCAGTGATGAAGAATTTTTAAAAAATGACCTTAGAATAAAATAATCTATACTACTGATACATCCTTCTGTAGGAAAAAAAGTCAATAATTTACAACGCTATCTATTTTTTCTATTAAAAGGACAAAATTCAGTAACTATTCATTTCTGTTCAAATGTTTATTTAATGCAGTGGTTCCCAAACTGTGGTCAGTATACCACAAAAATGAAAATATGGTCCATGGCCTCATCATTGCTACGCCGTTGTCTCAAAACCACAAAGCAACGAGAGTGATTGGTCTCGCGAAACCCTCTTACAGTGCTGAGGCAACAGGGATGTCAGGAGAGGAGAGACTGACTCCCCATGAAAGATTACTACTACATCAGCTCTAGATTATTAAATATTGTTTTCTGTGGGAGAGCAGATGTCGACTACTGGATGGCATATGTTCTGTACCAGAAACTAGGGCTATCCAATGCAATTTTCTGAATCAGCACCCCAAATAACCAAACCGAATCTAAAGTGGACCAAAACCTGATTCATAACCCTTTTGGTACTAATGTTGGAGAGTGGTCCCTGATCAGAGTGGTCCCTGGTCAAAAAACAGGTTGGGAACCACTACTTTAATGTATGATGCATATGTATTTCAGACAAGAAGTGGAACTGAAGACATGCAGGCAAGCTATTGATAGCTTTTATACTGGGTTCAGAGATCATCTCCTTGGCCTTGTAAGTGAAATCGTTAAGCATACTAGTGTTGGACCTACATCAATAATTTTGCTCCATATTAGTCCCAACAGTTTTCATGTTACTCTATTAATTCTAAAACAAATCTGAAAATGCACATTTATTTTTCTAAACATACATATCTTGTATGCAGCTTTCTGTAATGTTTGCATTTTGTAAGCCATTCTGGGGCCAAGAATATCAACATAGTGTGCAATCCAAATAGAAATCGCTTCATAGTCTGGCCAATCTGGATTAGATATGCTTGATTTAAAATGTGGACAAATATAATTTTAGCGTTTTCTGAATGATAGTCTTTATGTAGCCAAATGCCCGCATACAAAAGTAGTAACAGGAAGGAAGCAGTGTATAGAATTTGGGGAGCGTGGCTTAAAAACGAGTAGTTATATTGCAACATGTTGTTTGAGGTTTTACTTGTGTCAGAAAAATGGAGTCATGGTATTCTTATAAACAGTAAATTACCTTTCTATAGAATCTGTCAAGTCAAAGCAAATTGTAAATTCAGTCAATTACATGAATAACAAAGAACATCACAGAAACCTGTCCACCTATCTCTGGGTGGAAAATATGAATTCTATCACTCCTATGCCTTACAGTGACATTTGAAAACTTTATGTACAGTACTCTGTACTTAATTTTATTAATCTAATGGTTGTACTCTGTAACTAATTACTGCATCTTTTAATTAGATGACAGGGGCAAAAGAACTGAAAAAAACAAAACTAAAAAATATGAAGGTAAATATCTCTGTGTATTTTCTTGTTTGGAGTTACTTGTATGGATTAAGTGAAAGTTTGTGGGGTTTTGTTTTTCTGTTGTTCCAATGGATTGTTGCATTTTTATTTTTTAAATACATTTTATTTTTTATTGGCCTTCTAATGTATATATCAGTGGTTTCCAACCTGTGGTCCGCAAGAACTAAAATATGGTTCAAGGCCTCACAGTTACTACACAGTTGCAACAAGAGCGACTGGTCTCGTGAAACCTTCTTTCAGTGCCGAGCGCTAACAAAATCCACGGATAACACAGCCCAACCAAAAAAAAAATTAGGCCTGTTCCTGGGTTATTTGGGGTGCTGATTCAGAAAATTGCATTGGATAGACCACATCAGCTCTAGATTATTAAATATAGTTTTCTATGGACAAGTAGTTGACGACTACTGGATGGCATATGTTCTGTATCAGAAACTAGAGCTGATATGGTGTATCCAATGCACTTTTCTCAATCAGCACCCCAAAAAGCCAAACTAAATCTAAAGTTGACCAAAAACTGATTCGAAACCCTTTTGGTACTAATGTTGGAGAGTGATTCTTGGTCAAAGTGGTCCCTGGTCAAAAAAAGGTTGGGAACTACTGGTATATACCCAGTGATGTCCAGGGGTTGGAGGGGCCACTGCTTCTCTCCCCCCCCCCCCACTTTTATCATGTCTTCCTCTTTCTTCCATTCCCTCATGTTTTTTTCTCTCCCACCTTTCCTTCCCTTCCTTCTCCTTTTCTTCTCCCCCTCTTTATATTTCTTTCGTTCCCCCTTTCCATTCCTTTTCTACCTTCTCCAGCTCTGAGAGGATCTACCTCATCATGTCTCTCTTTGTGGTTTTTCCTTCAAATCTTCTTATATATTCATCTTTATTTCCCAGTAACGTCACAGAGGGCCACTCCACCTAAGCCTCTGTGGTACAGACAGACATACTTCGACTTGTATTGTTTACCTATCTTGAACTATTTGGAAAGGCGGCATACAAAGGTTAAATATCTTTAGCACTTTCTACATGACAGTCCATCCCAGATTTAATCACTTTACTAGGAACTTTGTTACTTCACTGCAGTAGGAAGTGAAGTAACACTTCCTGAAGATACATATGAAGATGATGGTGTTGGAAAATAGCATTTTTTATTCAACTTACTTCCTGTGTCTTCAGGACTTTGAGCTTAGATAGAAAAGAACAAAATTCAAATAATGTGAAATATATCTATTGGAGGTATTAAAATACAATTAGTAAGACAAATTGTTAAATTGTATATATATATTTCTTTTACAAACTATATGTCTATTGCATTGCAGATGGTCAAAGAGACAAATAAGAAAAGGAGGCGTTTGATAGAAGTTAAAGAAGAAGTAATTAAGTATGTTGTCAATGGTTAAAGTACTACATAAAATAATGCATTAGTATGTTTTAAAGTAGCTACTGAACCGAAATGCTTTCTTATGCCAGTTCATGTGTGCATGATTTATATTTTGAAATGTTTTTACAAATGGTATTAAACAGTCAGAGCAATCATAACAACAGAATTTAATGGCTTTCTGTGTATGTTTGCATAAACTTTTGGAGCTGTTATGAGGGGTGCCGTCTTTCTTTTCTACTTGAGAATGAGAATTTTAGAGTGCTGCAGTTCAACTTGTAACTTCAAAGTAATTAAGCAGTCTTCCACAGAACCAGTTTAAAATAAACGTATATGAGGTTTATTTTGTATAAGCATTATGTTCTTAGATTTGTGATTCAAATAAGCATGATGCTCATCGATTTGTGACTTGCAGAACTGACTCACAGCTGAAGAAACTACAGCGGGAACATGCTGAACTCAAAGAAAAATTATCCTCTCTCAGGAACGCAAGGCAGTTAATCACCGATTTAAAAGATCTTCAACAAAAATATGCTCAGGAGAGAGAGAAAAACCCACAAGAAGATGTATTAGTAAGTACACATTTGACCACCGATTGGCCATGTTCCAGAAGCATTCCCTCCTGATGTTCTGCCCACATCTATGACAGGCATCCTCTGTGGAATGTTCAGCGTGGGAGAAAAAACTCTTGTCTATTTGAGGCAAGTGTTAATGTTGCAATTGGCCACCTTGATTAGCATTGAATGGTCTTGCAGCTTCAAGGTCTGGCTGCCTCTTGACTGGGGAATCCTTTGTTGGTATGTGTTAGCTGGCCCTGATTGATTGATGTTTGGAATTCCCCTGACTTCTAGGTGTTCTTCTTTATTTACTGTCCTGACTGTAGAGTTTTTTAATACTGTATATAATGTTAACCCCTTATACAAGTATAAGGGGTTAACATTGCACATGTTGTGTGTTTGCTCAACTATACCTTAGAATATTGCGCCTTCAAATTTAGTAACCATATGTTTTTTTCTATTTTCTTTCTCTCGCTCTGTAGTATGGCATTTCCAGCCTTCCTGCACTTCTGGTGGAATCGCAAAGAATTTTAGGAGCCGAAGGTCACTTTCGAAATATCAACAAAAGATTACAGCAAGTTTTAAATGCACAAAAAGAAAGCTAAACATTGGATTGCTGTGAGTTTTCCAAGCTGTATGGACATGTTCCAGAAGTATTTTCTCCTAACATTTGGCCCGCATGTATGACAGGCATCCTCAGAGGTTGTGAGCTATATTGGAAACTAAGCAAGGGAGGTGTGTATGTCTGTGGAAGGTCCAGTGTTGGAGAAAGAACTTTTGTTTGTTGGAAGCAAGTGTGAATGTTGCAATTAATAACCTTGATTAGCATTGCAAAGCATTGCAGCTTCGAGGCCTGGCTGATTCCTGTCCAGAAGAATCCTTTGTTGGGATGTGTTAGCTGGCCCTGATTGTTTCCTGTGTGGAATTCCCCTGTTTTCAGAGTGTTATTCTCTATTTAAAAATCTAAAATTAGGACAGTAAATAAAAACAGATATGTAAACCTCCCTTGCTTAGTTTCCAATATACCTTGCAACCTCTGAGGATGCCTGTCATAGATGTGGGCCAAATGTCAGGAGAGAATGCTGGAACATTACCATAGAGCCGGAAAACTCAGCAACCCAGTGATTCTGGCCATGAAAGCCTTCAACAACACAAAGCTAGGCATTCTTCATGCAGAGTACATGCTATACTGTCTCCTATTTCCATATCGCTGTCTTATGTTATAATTTTAAGTATAACTAATTGCTAGTCCCAGCAAGATTAGATAGTTAATATTAACATAAATTCCATTAATTTTAATCTATCTATGTAGTTGGGACTTTTTGGTGCATCTCGGCCCCAGTATAACTTCCTAACTTACTATTGAGAATAAGCATTGCCAAATACCAAGTAAGGACAGAAGTAAACAGGAAGTAGGGCAAATCAACTGAATCTTAGTTTGGCAGTTTTCCTTGGAGGAAAGGGGCCTCTGGTTTATCCTATTATCTGCTGCTGTGGAAAGGTCATCATTTCCTGTTGCAAGAAGTAGAGGGAAATAATGAATTCACCGCAGGGAAGAGCAGACAGGATCCTATAAGAGGCACTTAAAATTGCTAATAAATATTTAAATAAATGTTTAAAGAGCAATAGTTCTATAAAAATGGAATACTTGATATTGTAGAGTTTAGAAGTGGCACATTGTGTGATCTGCTCTATTTCTTCTTTTACTCTATCGCATTAAAGTGCCTTTTAAAAGTTCTAAGCCTCATATATAATAAATACATGCCATGACTTATTTTTTCAGATTTTTTTCTTTTGTGCTTTAATTATTACAGACATACAATCTAACATAAAGCAAACATGTTTATCATTCTATCAGTCAACTTATTTTAGAATTCTACAAAACCAGTTAAGGTCAAATATTTGAATGTACTATCTCAAATATGGCAATATAATTTTGCCCAAAACTGTTTAAAATTTAGTTTTTTGAAAAAACTAAGTCTTTAGTATAGTACTTGGCATGATGTGTTTTCTACACTATAGTATTTTTGTTATTTAAATATTTCACCGTGTTATATAATGTATGAGAATTAAAGGAATCCAGTTTCTCTGACCAACTGTCTGGGAGTTGTTTAATTAAACTCTTATTTTCTACCCTGAAATTCATGTTTACATTGTGCAAATGCTGCTTCTGCTTATCATCACAAGCCAGCAGCTAAAGTAACATTTAAAAATCCAGGAAATAATATTGCCCCAAACTCAAACAAGCTTGTATCATTTAGTTTGACCGCTGGTTATTTGACAACAGTTACGTGCACTCTTTGCTCAGCCATGCCTTGGCAGACTTACTCCTTGATTTCATGGTTTTGTAAAGCATCTACTAGGAGTTCATCAGGTATTTCATCTACACTCCAGTCCCTCTGAGGCTGAAAACTAGCAGCAGCCTCTGCAAGTTCCACATCTTCAGAAGCTTCCAAAAGAAAGATGTCAGCTTCATCATCCCATTCAAGGCTTGACCTTTTTGTAGCATCTGGGTCACTTATTTGCTGTAACGCAGCTAAAGATGTGCTGCTTGATGAGTCTATTGTCGGGTTAAATGTTTTGGATTTTTCTTCAATGTTCCCACATTCATCCATTATATATTCATACTCTTCTTCCTTTAAAAGAAAACAATTAAGACATTTCATATAAACTGATAATATTTAGCCTGATATTTCTGATAGATGAACTCTTGCTGAAGTGGGAGACGCCTAGACACCAATGTCTTCCCATTCTTTGCACATATTGGAGAAAAGTAAAAGTTTTGGGTCTGCTCATACCACCTACTGGACGGCAAACCATAATAACAATAATAATAATAATAATAATAATAATAATAATAATAATAATAATTTATTACTCACCTTGATTAAAACAGAGAGATAAAACACAAGACTATTAAAATAAATAAAACAACACAGGTTTTGACTTAAGATAAAGCAGATCTAAAAGGAATCTGCCACATTCCTGCTGCCCTGCAATACTGATTAAATATTGATTAAATATCAGTTATACCAGTGATTCCCAGTGAGTCCGTGGACCACCAGTGGTCTGCAAGAACTAAAATATGGTCCGTGGCCTCGTTGTTACTACACCGTTGCAATGAGAGCAACTGGTCTCGCAAAACTCTTTTATAGTACCAAGGCTTATTAAATATGGTTTTCTGTGAGCGAGCAGATGGCAACTACTGTTCTGTATCAGAAACTAGAGCTGATGTGGTCTATTCAATACAATTTTCTGAATTAGCTCACAAAATAACCCAAAGTAATCTAAAGTTGACTAAAAACTGATTCATAACCCTTTTGGTACTAATGTTGGATAGTTGTCCCTGTTCAAGTAGTCCCTGGTCAAAAAAAGGTTGGAAACCACTGATTTATACCCTTTTCTTGAAAAGAGGAATTCAAAACAGCTGTTATGGCAAGATGCCAAACTGGAAAAGGCTAAGACTATACTAGAAACTAAGTTACAGGTTCTTTCATGCCCACCATATTCCTGGTTACTGGTTGTTAATGTTGGTTTTATACACTTTTATGATGTTTTTATACATTGCTGTTCTTAATTGTTTCAATTAGTTTGTTTATGTTGTATTACGTTTTTAACCGTGTTTTAGCTGGTAAATTTTGTTGTGTGCTGGACTTGGTCCCCATGTAAGCCGCCTCAAGTTCCTTCAGGGAGATGGTGGTGGGATATAAAAATAATGTTGTTGTTATTATTATTATTATTATTATTATTATTATTATTATTATTATTTTGTGCTTATTCATGTTTCATCTCTATATTGTATTTCCCTAACTAAGCTATTTACCGAGATCCTTCCTAGGCTACAACTAAATAATGTTGATATTAAGCAAGTCATACCTCCTTGAAAAGGAATGGGAGGCATACTTCACTTGGTAAAGGAAAACCTGCCATGAACAGAAATAAACTGGTATTAGTTATAATGTATTTCAAATCAGTGCCTTAAATATTTTAGGTTAAATACAAATACTCACTTTCTGATTTGAAGTTTTCTGCTCTGCAAACAGGGTCATGGCATTTTTGATACCAATTCTCTTGTTTCAAATCTACTATAATCCTTGAAATACAAATATATTTGATTAAGTCATAAATCTATTCATGCACGAGTGTAAAATAAAAAGATGATAGAAATCTCTGGTCAAATCTAGCAAGAGATATCTCAAATAGATCTCTCCACGCAGTCAACACAGTGCTCCAAGGATATAGCCATATCTCCCTCGTACTTTCAATGTTGACAAGGTCTCCAGTTCGATAAATTGATAGAAATGTCATCTGGTTACTCAAAATTAAACTAATTACTTACAATGAAACCTAGTCCTCCCTGCTCACAATTTAAATGTAGTTAGGGAGAACAGTGGCTGCAGTGGCACAGCGGGTTAAACCACTAAGCTGCAGAACTTGCTGACCAGAAGGCCGATGATTCAAGCTCTTTGGCTTAGGAATTGAGATGAGCACCCAGAGTTGGACTCGACTAGACTTAATATTAAGGGGAAACCTTTACCTTTAGGGAGGACAGTTGTAATCTAGTTGACTTCTGGGTGGATTATATAGCATGCTACTATAGCTCATATCTATAGTATACACTATACAAAATAGTACTGGCTATATCCTACACCAAATTTAAAGAGCTGATATGGAATTTTAATGCATATGTAATGCTTTAGATTTCTACAAATATATTGAAAATAGTACATGTGTAGATAATTATTACACTTCAAATGTTTATGTCAGTGTGTCAAAATGACAAGTAAAAACGAGAACCTGACAATGTTCTAATTCTTTGTATATTACCTAACATACCTGTCCCTGTGAATAGAAAATTATAATTTCATTGGACATGAAATACACAAAGAAGTATTCTAATAATCCTACTTCAAGAATGACCAAAACCTATAATTTATCAAACAAACTATGAAGAGTGTCATGAAAGTGTACATACATTATATTGTTACTTTTGTGAGCTCTGCCAATATTCCTACACCAACGGTAGTTCAAGATGTCATACACGAGAAGCTGCTCAAGAGAAAAATAATTCCATCTTCTTATTCCTGGAAAGGGGAAAATATGCTCATTTTTACATGACTTTATAACCTTTCAAAGAAAAATCCTTAGTTCACATAAGAAATCCCCTTACCTCCTTGAACACTGTCTTTACTGACTAAGGACAGGACAAAGTTATCAATTTCTGGATAAGGGGAACAGTGGTATCCCCCTATGGAGTCTATAGGAAAGAGACAGAAAATATGAGTAATGTCTTTTCTTCCATGGCTCATACAAACTGAGAAATCACATGTGAATGCTATTATAAACTGAATTAGGTTTCCTTGTCCTGATGTAAATATTTCCAGCATAAGAGCTAGCCAGGTGTTCCTACAATCCTACAACTATTCACAGTAAGTGCTGACCTCTTGTTCTGTTATCCTAAGGTTAATTATCAGGGGCATTGCATTCTGGTTTGTCTTGATTCGTTGATAACCAAAAGTCCTTGGACTCCGTTGAGATCAATGCTATCCTTAACACTCTACACCAAGTCGGTTTAAATCCAGCATACGTGAACAGAGTCCACAACGGATATAAAACTATTGTCAGAAGTGAGTCATATCAGAATAAACAATAGAGTGTGTCAAGAAGACACAATATCACCAAAACTGTTTGCGTGGACTTTAGAAAACCTCTTCCGAAAAATCAAATTGAAAGGCAGGATTTCAATTGATGGCAGACAACTTTCCCATCCCCTCTTTGCAGATGCTTGTGTTCTTTTCGCCAAAAATCCGGAAGATTTACAACATCTCCAACAATTAGCTCGATGCTCAAGATCAGACAGGCTCCCACTTTGTTCTCTTTTTGGAAGGAATTTATGACTGGCTTTATCATTTTATTGATTGATTTTAATTGTGTTTTTCTGTTTTATCTGTAATTTTTAGGCTTGTCCCTCTGTAAGCCGCCCAAGTCCCCTAGGGGAGATGGTGGTGGGGTATAAAAATAAAGTTATTATTATTATATTATAATCAGGAGGGCTACAAATGAACTCGAAGAAAACAAAATGGATGAAAAACGAGCCAGGTGTCCACAGCCGCATTGTTATAAATGGATATGAAAGTGACTGGAGTGAATACGTATATCTTGGACAACAAGTACAGTTGAATAAATTGACAAATGGGCAAGAAAACGCATAGCTGCTTGGACAGCTTTTCATCAAAATGGGACAGTGCTAATAAATGCTAAGCTGTCAATGAAGGTCAGAACAGGTATCTTCAACACTACAGTCATAAGCATCTGGAATGTCATACACATCTGAAACATGGACAACAAAGTTAGAGTAGGAAAAACTGGAGGTGACTCGGAGAGCAATGGAAAGAAGGATGTGTGCCATGACAATAAGAGATACAGTCAGCAACAAAAAGCTGCGTCAAAGAACCGGGGTATGCAATGTGGTCAATGAGATCTATGAGACAAAAAGAAGATGGGCAGGGCATATAGCACGAACAAAAGATAACCAATGGACATGTCAATTAACAAACTGGAGACCAAGAGACCACAAGCGGTCCTTGGGCAGACCTCATATTTGATGGAACAAACCAATGGTTAAGCTATTTGGCCAGAAATGGAAAAGAAAAGCACAGGATTGTATATTTGGGGAAATAGTATACTTGCGTGCAGCTCAAAGGAGTGGATCGACGACAAATCAAATAAAATAGAAATTGTATACAAATTGTATTTGCTTCCTTCTTAAGTTGAATGCTTCATTTTCTTTCCAAAAAGTACTCTTATCTAACTTCTTTGTACATGTCTAGACTTCTCACCAATTTTACCAACACATAAACATTAATCTTGCTCAAGTAACTCATTGCTTCCTTATGAAGACAGCTCAACCAGTTACTTGCCAAAAGCTTTCAAACTGTTAAGCTGACTAAATACGCCTGATGCATGGACTCTAGGAGACAAAGTATTCAATGTGTTGTCGAAGGCTTTCATGGCCGGAAGCACTGGGTTGCTGTGAGTTTTCCAGGTTGTATGGCCATGTTTCAGGAGCATTTTCTCCTGACATTTCTCCCACTTCTATGGCAGGCATCCTCAGAGTATGCCTGTCATAGATGTGGGTGAAATGTCAGGACAGAATGCTTCTGGAACTTGGCCATATAGCCTGGAAAACTCACTGCAACACAAAGCATTCAATTTTGCAGTGCAAATATATTCAATTTTGCAATGCAAGCACTGACCTAAAACATGTTGATATTTTTGCAATGACAAAAATAGCATGAGAAAGTTTCAGTTTAATGGGAATACCTATACTGCTACTGGTCATGTTTCCATTTGAACAGACAGACTTTTCTTTTCTCACTTCTGGAGTGTCAAAAGTCATAATTTTTAAACAGTCTGAAAATCTGATAAAAAAAGAGAAGAAATACAAAGTGTTATAACAATCTCAAAGAGTTCTTTTTCCCAGCTGTCTATTAATAGTGTGTGATACTTTTTTCAGCACTACACTAGTGTATTAAAATAGCCCATTCGTTTTGCTTTCAGTTTCCACCAAGTAATTCAAGAAGCACTAATAAAATGACAGAAGCAAATATGCAAAAAGTCTGTTTGTGGGAGAGAAACCTTTCAGTGATACTTCTGGTTACAATTTCTGAAGTTATCATTTAAGAGGCACTGTGACTATTCAATCTTTTCCTACTTAATAGGAAAAGTTTTTTTTCCTGTTGGCAATATGAAAAAAGCAGTAGCTGGAAAATATAGTGGAGTTATGTCATCTTGACCCCAATAAATGTAAGTGAATGGAGAAGGGCAATGGCACATTAAAGGACTTATCTCAAAAGTAACTGAAGCTTTGAAGGAAGTCAGATCTGGAGGCAGATCAGGAAAGTTTGAGCAATCCATACTTTCTAGGACTTTACAAGGCAAATTTAATACAACTCCCTCAAAACTCCAAATAATCAGATGGTGACTGGAATATATTACTCATTTTTATAACTGACGCAATGAATATCCTCCATTAGCATTATCAAAATTAGTAAAATAATTCATTTTTTTAAAAGTGAAATTACAATTACCTTACATTACAGATCAAAGAGGACAAAAAATACTGTTCTTCTACAGAAGAATTTTTTACAGATTTAGGAATGAACTTGTTATCTTCCGCAATATCCAGGACAGCACACTTTCCTGCTTTTGATGACTTGTATAACCGAAAATTTCTATTCTTAGTATAAACCCCTAAAGAAAGAAAAGAGTTACTGGCTGCGTCTACAATTGCCTATAGTTTTTGCAATTCATGATCACATGTCAATGCAACTATTAAGTGGGTTAAAAACTACTGTTTTCAAGCTCAATAAACATGAGTAAACTATTGGATAGTTGTTCTCAATCGTGAAGAATTTTGAAGAAGAAAAGTGAAACTAGGCCTTCCGAGAATACACATTCAAGATCAGTATCATTTCTGAAATAAGCTTTTTTCCCTGGTTTTGGAACATTTCAAATTAACTTCTGAAATTTGACTTGGAGAAGAGTTGGGAAATTTTGTTGTAGACAGTATCTATTGATAAATTAAAGGTAAAGGTTTCCCCTGACATTAAGTCTAATCGTGTCCAACTCTGGGGGTTGGTGCTCAACTCCATTTCTAAGCCGAAGAGCCAGCACGGTCCATAGACACCTCCAAGATCATGTGGCTGGCATGACTGCATGGAGAGGCTTTACCTTTCCGCAGAAGTGGTACCTAATGATCTACTCACATTTGCATGTTTTTGAACTGCTAGGTTGGCAGAAGCTGGAGCTAACAGCAAGAGCTCACCCTGCTCCCTGGATTCAGACTGCCAAGCTTTTGGTCAGCAAGTTCAGCAGCTCAGTGGTTTAATCTGCTGCACCACCAGGTCTCTATTCTTAATTATTGTTAATTAACTGTTAATGTGATAAAATTACTATTTTAGATCTTTCAAAGTCATTATATTTATTTGTACCATCATTTTATTTATTTATTTATTTATTTGCTGTATTTCTATACCGCCTTGTTCATCCCTGGAGGGACTCAAGGTGGTTTACAATACATTAATGGCAAAAATTCAATGCTAACATACAGTAACACAAAGATAAATCACTGATTTAAAACCACTACTAGGATTCTGAAATATTTAAGCAACTGCAGGGATGGAAAGGAGTGGCACAGGTAGGTATCATCTACATACTGACAGCAGCCTTTCTCAGTGGCTTCATATAACTGGAAAAGCACAATCAAAGCATTCCTAACAGATGGCCATCTGGCCTCTTTTAAAAAGCATACACCACACCCCAAGGCAGTGAGTTGAACAGCTGTTACAATCAGAGAAAGTTACTCCTAATATTCAGGTGGAATCTCCTTTCCTGTAATTCGCTAATTAAATAAATCAGCATTTGTTTGGCTTGCTAAACAGACTGGTTTTCTCTTTTAAGAAGTACAGCTGAAGCGTTTTCTGCAGAGTCCAAGTTAACACTGCAGGTTATTGCTAACAGATTTGAGTAAAATTGGTGGCCTTCAGAAATCTTTTACTGTTGCAAATTTTTCATGACCCCAACACTGACCTAAGTAAAGGTTTCACCTTTACATTAAGTCTAGTCATGTCTGACTCTGGGGGGTGGTGCTCATCTCCATTTCTAAGCCAAAGAGCCAGCATTGTCCATAGATGCCTCCAAGGTCATGTGGTGGGCATGACTGCATGGAGCGCCATTACCTTCCCATCCGAGAGGGAGCTCACCCTGCTCCCCAGAGTCAAACCACCAACCTTTCGGTTAACAAGTTTAGCAGCTCGGTGAAGGGAACCCAATTTGGAATCGGGATGCAGTTTCAGAAGCAGTGGTCTATGGCATTAAATACTGAAAGGTCCAGCCGAACCAACAATAACACACTTCTCCAATACAGTTCCATGTGTAGGTTGTCTACCAAGGCAACTAAAGTTGTCTCCATGGCATAACTAGTCTTGAAGCCTTGCATGGACATATTTGCCATGTGCAGAAGATTACTCAATGCCCAGTGTTATGCATCAGGGAGAAATGGACCAGGACCACATTTTAGCATCTAGTCTTACTTAGAACCACTAGGATTCATAAATATTTAAGTAACTGAGTAATTTCAACATTCATCACATTGATAAATCACTAATAGTCAAAAGGCTCCTTGGATCAATCATTCTCCTCCACACACTATTAATTCATACCTGAATTGACAAAAGTTGACACAACAGCAGACTTCTTTCATCCCTGCCAGCCCTCCTATTAGTTATGAAAAGCACACATTTGAAAATAGCATTAGCACAGAGTTGTGCATGAAATGTGTATTCATATTTACCCAGATCTACAAACAGTTGCTTTCCTCCCTCTTTGCCATTCATAATCAGAAAAGATAGGTCTCTTTCTCCTTTCGCTTGTGGTGTCCCTTTTTCCATTGCTCTCTGTGAATTAAATTGACAGGTGGAAGGAACATTATTGGAGACAGTCTGGTTTTCAAGACATTTGGGTAAATCTGTGGTGACTTTGGAACATCGAGAAGCAGAAAGCACCTGTTTTTCTACAGCCACTGCGTCTTTATTCTTAATTAAAAGAACAGCAGGTTCCAAAATTCTTCTTAAAAAGTTACCTTGAGGGGGAAAAAAGAAAAATATTGAGTAAAGTAGCATTTGGAAAACAGGCAGGATGACAAAGGAAACTGTAGTTTTCAACCACAAAGTATTTCAGACCTAACAACTGACACTGAGAAATACCAAAGGAAAGCAGATTAAATAGCAGACAAAACAGAAAGCTGCATCAATAGCACAAAGTTCTTTGTCCAATTCATTTTATTAAAAACACAGCGGTTTCTCGTATTCCTTAAATAGTAGAATATCCAACCAAATGTATAGGAAGTTTTTTCAAATATCATTTCTACTGCAAGAAGGACCTCACATACAGTCCCTGCCAACCAAGACTTCATTATCTCTGTGGATTAATATCAATTTCCTTCCATTTTAGTCATAAGGTAATTAGAACATGAAAGGACTGCAAATGTATTTAGCCTTCGCCGTTTTCACATAGTTTCAGGTCACAGATTTCCAGTTGTCCTTCCACATTTGCATTTTGTCTTCTGCAGATTATTTAAATTTGAGTAAAATATTCCCACTACGAATCTCTGGATCTTCCAGTTTGACTCCATGCCAGTGGTTCCAAAACTGTGGTCCGTGAACCATTAGTGGTCCGCAAGAACTGAAATATGGTCCGCGGCCTCACCATTGCTACACTGTTGCAATGAGAGCGACTGGTCTCTCGAAACCCTCTTATAGTCTCGAGGCTTATTAAATACGGTTTTCTGTGTGTGAGCAGATGACAACTATTGGATGGCATATGTTTTGTTTCAGAGACCAGAGCTGATGTGGTCTATCCAATGCAATTTTCTGAATCAGCACCCCAAATAACCAAACCGAATCTGAAGTTGACCAAAACCTGATTTGTAACCCTTTTGGTACTAATGTTGGAGAGTGGTTTCTGGTAAAAAAAAAAAAAAAAAAAAGGTTGGGAATCACCGCTCTATGCTGACTGTACATACATCTGAAATACATCTATACTTACCTATGTGAATGTTATTTTTAAATGCAGCATTGTGGAGTTGAAATATGAGATGGCAACTAAATTTCTCTTCAGTGCTGGAATCTAAATTCAAAATGTCTCCAGCTGAACATTTCACTCCATAGTGTTCATCTAATTTTTCACACACAAACTGAAAAAGATACAATGGCATTCCTTCCTTTATTTGTTTGTCACAGTTTGCACATAAACATATATCATTTTGTCGTATTGGCAAAATCTTAGACATGTGTTAAGGTAAGAGAGGCTGAAGAGTAAAAGCTGTAAGCCACATGGCACACAAACTATTATCACTTCATTCTAATGCTTTCTTTCATATTTAGGTCACAATGTATGGGGAAAATGGTTGCTACTCTTTTCTTCAAGCAGCAGTTCCTTGGTTCCATAAAATCCCGCTTTAGATGGTCTCCCAAGCTTTTGGGATTGGGAATACTCAGTTGACAGTTTCAAGTAAAAAACTGGGGGAATGATCTTTCAGATCTCAGCCAATATACCTAATATGAGATGACATAATTACAAAGTATAACTTTAGGCATTTCAAGATCTTATCCCCACTCCATTTTTTTTTTTTTTGCTATTCTTCTCTTTATGGAGTTTTTGATCTTTAACTTGCCAATATACTTCATATCACTTGCAAAGAGCTTCAAGCGATGAAGCAGCAGTAGTGTACTTTTGAATGTTCTCCAATTTTCCAGTTTTAACATCCCCTCCAAAGCTTGTTTTCATCAGAAGTGTTTGTGCTCCATTTTCATGAAAATAAATACAAATACATATTGAAATTTAATACCATATATACTCCTAAAGTTGGAAAAGAGCACATGAGACATCCACTTTAATTCCCCTGCCTTGCCATGCAGGAAAAGCACAATCAAAGATGGCCATCCAGCCTCTATTTAAAAGCCTCCACCACACTTGAAGCAGAAAGTTCCATTGCTGAACAGCTCTTATGGTCAGGAAGTTATTCCTAACGTTCAGGTGGAATTTCCTTCTCAACCTATTGCTCCAAGTCACAGTCTCCAGGGCAGCTGAAACCGAGCCTGCTCCCTCTTATGACAACCTGTATGAGTCAGTCTCATATGTAAGTCAAGGTCAGAGATTTGGGGGCCAAAATTATGGATTTTGATATGACTCCTGGATAAATGGAGGGTCATTCTGCAGAAATAGGAAAGCACTAATGCCATCTCTGTGGACCAGCTGCTCCTGGCTGTTAAGAATAACTTTTCAATAACTTTAAAGCATAGGTTCTTTTAATTGCAATCTTCTAGTAAGAGAAAGGGTATCAGAACTTTTATAGCACAACATTTATATAGAGAACTAAATTGGATATTTAGACAAAGAACTACATAAGACATACAGATTCTATGTAACTACACTGAATTCCACAAACCTACAGTTACATTGGCTAATAAACACACAAAGGGGAATTAACATTTTTACTCAGCATTCACTTACACATACATTCACTTAGCATCATGCATACATCACCATTCAACATTCTTTCTCTGTGGAGAACATCTCTTAGGCCAGAATGCTTCCTTGCAAATCTGCCAACACATAGTTCTAAAACTCTAACCTTCAAGATGCATCGTTTCCCGAAGCACAATGCCAAGGATCAGATCTGTGTTTCCCCTACAGCAGAATCTGACTTCCCTGCACAAAATCCAAGACTCCAAAATCACATGCCTTCCTCTTCTCTTGAGAAAAGGAGGCATACACCATCTCTGTCCTTCCCATGGACCAGAGCATGGCAGGTGGGCCAGACCCCTGTGGTGTGTCACACTTTTTGGATTGTAATAAGGTCCCTTATATAGCAATATTTTTTATGATGTTGTCCCAAAGTTGTAGGTTAATGACAAGATGTTTTCCATCCTGTGACATCCTGGCTCCATCTCAGTTTCCTGGCAAATGTTGACTCTTCTTGATTGGTGTTAGCAAAGCACAAACCTTGTGTTGACTTCCTTAACATCCTTAACTTAAATGAGCCATTGCCTCTGATTAATGTAAACATGTGATTTTCCCCCAAAAGTTCAAAAGTTAATCATTTGTCACAGTTTTTATCAATATTACCAGTTCAACACCTTTTAATTACAGTCCAGCAAGCAGGTTTTAATTACAATTCATCAGTGTAGTTGTTTTCCAGGCCTTGGCTTCAGAATGGTGTCTCTAAAATTATTAGATCTCATTCATTTATCTTTCATAGAATTCCATTTAAACCATACATCATATTTCATCATGACATGTCCACTGCTGTCATTTCCCCATCTGGGCTTTCAAAAAGGCCAGAAGTGACACCAAGGCAGTGGGTCAGTGCTTCTTTTAGATTCTCCTGGGATTTTGCCAGGGAAGTGGATTGTTACTTTTTTGACAAGTTAATATACAGTACTCACATCGAGCTATGAATAAGTTAACCAGGGTTTTTGAATTGATGTTTTTTATTAAGGTTTTTGGACCTATAGCTGAGTATATAGCAAGCATGGGCAAATTTCAGCCCTCCAGGTGTTTTGGACTTCCACAATTCCTAAAGGCCTACTGGCTGCTAGGAATTGTGGAAGCTGAAGTCCAAAATATCTAGAGGGCCGAAATTTGCCCATGCCTGCTATACTGAAGTTTTTCGATTTTTAATACAGAAATTGAACCATTAATACTCTTATTTGTTATTATATGCATTCATAATACTCATTCTTGGATACACAGGTGAGAAAGGATCTAAATTAGTCCTTCAGCGATAACAGAACTCATTTAAATCTTTTCCAACTCCTGAATTAAAAAAACAAAATGGAAAGGTAGTAAATACTAATGTTACTTTTTAAAAAATCCAAAATAATCCAAAAGCCATTTTTGCTTATTTCATTTCTTACCTGCTATTATTGTGTCAGACATCTTCCCTGGTTTAGCCTAAATTTATATTCCTGTGTGTTAGTTTGGAACCTACCTCTATTAAGCCTGCTACCATCTGCTTCCCATCAGCGCTTTTATTTGCTGGTTTGTAGAATTCCAAATCAAAGTACAGTTTGCAAACAGCTGTTTCTGGAATAACTTCATAACAATGCATAAGACTGGTTTCACGATGTTTGCTAGATTAAGAAAAGTATTATTATTATTATACTACCACAGTTCAACTAAAGATTCCAACTTCTTTTTAGTGGAATGGAAATGAATAGAAAACCAAGACTTATCAACACTCACACATCAGTATTCTCCAGCACATGCAAGCAAAATTGTACCAGCATTGAAACACTAGCAAAGATCACACTGGCAAAAATGGAAATGAGACCAAAGTCCAAAAGGAAAGTATGTATTGGCAATAGAGTTCAATCCCACATGTCACACCTTTAAATCCTCCCAAGGTCAAAAAGTTTGTCATAGACCAGCATTTCTCAACCTGGGGGTCGAGAGGGGGGTATCAGAGGGGTCGCCCAAGACAATCGGAAAACACAGTATTTTCTGTTGGTCATGGGGGTTTTGTGTAGGAAATATGGCCCACTTCTATTGTTGGTAGAGTTCAGAATGGTCTTTGATTGTAGGTGAACTATAAATCCCAGCAACTACAACTCCCAAATGTCAAGTTCTATTTTTCCCAAATTCCACCAGTGTTCACATTTGGGCATATTATTATGGCCTAAGTTTGGTCCAGATCCATCATTGCTTGAGTCTACAGTGTTCTCTGGATGTAGGTGAACTACAACTCCAAAACTCAAGGTCAATGCCCACCAAACCTTTCCAGTATTTTCTGTTGGTCATGGGAGTTCTGTGTGCCAAGTTTGGTTCATTTCCATTGTTGGTGGAGTTCAGAATGCTCTTTGATTGCAGATGAACTATAAATCCCAGCAACTACCACTCCTAAATGTCAAGGTCTATTTTCCCCAAACTCCACTAATCTTCACATTTGGGAATATTGATCTGGATGAAATTTGGTCCAGATCCATCATTGTTTGAGTCTACAGTGCTGTCTGGATATAGGTGAACTACAACTCCAAAACTCAAGGTCAATGCCCACCTAACCCTTCCAGTATTTTCTGTTGGTCATGGGAGTTCTGTGTATCAAGTATGGTTCAATTCCATTGTTGGTGGAGTTCAGAATGCTCTTTGATTGCAGCAACTACAACTCCCAAATGTCAAAATCAATCCCTCCAACCCCACTAGTATTCAGATTTGGGCATATTGGGTATTTGTGGCAAATTTGGTCCAGTGAATGAAGATACATCCTGCACATCAGATATTTACATTATGATTCATAACAGTAGCCAAATTACAGTTATGAAGTAGAAACAAAAATAATTTGATGGTTGGGGGTCACCACAACATGAGGAGCTGTATTAAGGGGTTGCGGGATTAGGAAGGCTGAGAACAACTGTCATAGACAGAGCAGAGTTTGTACAATCCTTATGGAAAGATACATGCTTTAAGAGCTATACTGCACTGGAGTCTGATTTAGACTTCCCCATTTTTTTAAAAAAAGGGAAATATAGGTCCTCAGATCCCACAGAATGGCTTTAACAGAACATGGTGTTTGACCACCACAATTCCCTTTGATGCCACATACATGCAAAAGGAAGAGGGAAATTAACCACAAAGAAAACCAGGTTGACGTAATGTCACTTCCAGTTGTGCCTCTTCTCCTTGACGTGTGCCCAAACTTTGTAAAGGATGGAGTCAGACACAAATTTACTTTAATAAAAATAGTGAATTCTACGTAAAAACATATAAGTTTCCACTCCATATTTATGAAAATATTGTTACTATTGAGTAGGTATTGTTATTTTCCCCAATTTTTAGATACCTGTAATAAAACCAAAGCTCTGTGTAGGTTGTCACAAGATAAAACCTCTGTTTGTTTTCGGCACTTCTTTCCAAAGCAAATACATGGACATCCTTTAAAAAGTAAAATAATTTTAAATATATTAATATCTTGTTCTCAATCAGCATATGAAAGCAAGTAACCTGTTAGGCTTTTCAGTTCTAGCATTATGCTTGGCTTCCAACAATTTGTTTATAGCCCTAGAGTTATACAGTTCACAAAGGCTAAAAGTGACAAAGGTAACCATTCTCTCAGGGGAAAGCAAAGGAACTGGAGGATGCACTTATTCAATACTTAGTGACCTGCCAAAGTAAGGCCTTTCCATTCCATTTCCCATGACATACCGAAGAAACTACATGTTATCTTCTCTTTCCACAAGCTTACTCCTGTGTTTACAGAAGTGAACAGATTGCAGTTGTTTTACGGAGCTATATGAATTTAACATAAAGCCTGTCAAACGCTTCAGAATCCATTAGCAGCTTTATCTCAGTTTCAGTGAAAGGTATTTCACCATTATTATAATATATGGATATAGGTCAAGTAGGCAAGACAACACAGACGGCAAAAAATGTCACAAGGAGAGCAACTCTCTGTAGGTTTGTTGTTTGTTTACAAAGCTACCCTCCCTCCTTTGTTTAAAAAAGAAAAAGAAAAAAGGGAAAGCAAAAAAGAGATCCGTAATTATAATATGAAACAATGTTCTATAATCACAATATGATACTATGTTCCTGTATTTATCAGAAATATGTCAACCACCAAAATAATATACAGGCAGTAAGGTAAAGGTAAAGGTTTCCTCTGACATTAAGTCTAGTCGAGTCTGACCCTGGGGGTTGGTACTCATCTCCATTTCTAAGCCAAAGAGCCAGTGTTGTCCCCAGACACCTCCAAGGTCATGTGGCCAGCATAACTGAATGAAACACCATTGCCTTCCCGCCGGAGTGGTACCTATTATCTACTCATGTTTGCATGTTTTTGAACTGCTAGGTTGGCAGAAGCTGGGGCTAACAACAGGAACTCACCCCATCCACAGATTCAAACCACCGATCTTCTAGTCAACAAGATCAGCAAGTCAGCGGTTTAACCCACTGTGCCACCATGATCCCTCTACAGGCAGTCCCCAAGTTTAAAACAAGATAGGACCTGTAGGTTTCTTCTGAAGTTGAATTTGTAGGTCGGAACAGGCATATTTTTAAAGTGTAATTCCAGCCATATACAAATACACACATATACATACATACATACAGGATAACATAAGGAAAGGTTAACACCCCTGTGGTGTTTGTTTTGTTGCCTTTTCCTTCAAAATTGATGGCAGTGGCATCGGCCAAAGTAAAGAGAACATATCAAATATGCCAATAGTAAAATACTCAACAGTTAGACTTGCAAATGTAAAGGGCTGACTGTTGGGGTTTTTTCCCGATTATGTATATCATAAATAAATTTCAAAACACAAAATCGTGAAGCATTAGATCATTAAAGGCAACAACATCAATTTCCAAAGCCCCATTTCTAACCATCTTCTTAGTACATTCCACTTTCATACCTCTTTACAGGATTTTGCAAAATTAAATGCTTGGTTTTGCCGATGAAATAACTTCCAAATAGAGGATGGCTGCCATGGTTTGGACAGTTGTGGTTTGTAACGTTCGCAAAGCGGCCTTCGTTTATACAAAGATGATAGTTCCTCAATGCTCTTCAGTTTTTCTTCCCACTTTCTCTTTGATTGTCCTAAAGCAACCAAAATACTAACACTTAAACTTAAGTAATACACACACACAGATATATATATATACACACACACACACGCATATATACATACATATACATATACATATACACACGTTTGCATGCTATCAAGAGTTCCACTTACCGCCTCAGAGTTCAGAGGGTCTGAGTCCCTTTCCAGATTGCCCCTATATCCCAGGATCTGATCCCAGACTACCTTCTTGTCCCATATTCTCCGGCAGTGGAGACTCATATAATCCAGTTCAAAGCAGATAATCTGGGATCAGATCCTGGGATATAGGACAGCGTGGAAGGGGCCAGAGTAACCCAAGTGAGAGGCCCCGTGAGTTGAATGTATTGCTGTTGATCTATTTCTGAGCAATATTCAAGGCACTGGTTTTAACTGAGCATTGGCTTTGATGTGAAAGGAAACGTAATTGTTATTTTGCCAGAAATGCCATAATATTTAAACCCATTATCCACAATTGTCTCTTTCTCGCTTAGAAAATCTGGTGGCTCAGGGAGTATCACTTGAGTAGCACATTTTTTTTCGTGTAATTGCAAGTTGCTTCTGGTGTGAGAGAATTGGCCGTCTGCAAGGACTTTGCCCAGGGGACGCTTGGATGTTTCACCACAATACTACACAACTTAGGAGTAGGACAGTGGTGGCAAACCTTTGGCACACGTGCCAGATGGGGTACACAGCACCCTCTGTCCTGATACGTGCACTGTATTTTCTAATTCAAGCCTGCATTATTGTTTACATATTCATGGGAGATCTTTCTCTAATCTGCTATCAGAGGCATGTTTATTGGAGACCAAAAACTATACAATTTACTGCTTCAATACTCAAAACTGAAAACATATACACCTTATTTTTTTTCACCTGCAGACAAAGATCTTTATTCAGTCAAACATTTAGCACCTAATGTCTGTCACTTTTGAAAGGGATCTTTAGTTGTTGATTGCTGTCACTTTTTATTGATGTGTTTTTAATATTTCTGAGTTTCATTGTGCTTGTTTTACTTGAATTTTTAAGTTTTCTTAAATCTTCACCTCAACTCTAATTTTGAGTCAGAAAACAAGACATAAGTTTAAAGAATAGAAAAGTATATAGTACAATGTGACCTCACCATACTTTAGATGGAATTATTAAACATAGGAGTTGAAAATACGTTTGGTTCTTAGCTCCTTCTTCACTGGGTTACTGTGAGGTTTTCTGGGCTGTATGGCCATGTTCCAGAAGCATTCTCTCCTGGTATTTCACCCACATCTATGGCAGGCATCTCCAAAGGTTGTTAGGTCTGTTGGAAACTGAGCAAGTGAGGTTTATATATCCATGGAATGTCCAGGGTGGGAGAAAAAACTCTTTGTCTGCTTGAGGAAAGTGTGAATGTTGCAGTTGGTCACCTTGATTACATGGAGTGGCCTTGCAGCTTCAAAGCCTGGCTGATTACTGCCTGGGGATCCTTTGTTTGGAGGTATTAGCTTGCCCTGATTGATTCTTGTTTTGAATTCCAATGCTTTTTGAGTGCTGCTCTTTATTTACTGTCCTGATTTTAGAAATCCACAAGCATGTGGACAATTGCAACAGAAAGAAGAAAACCATGAAAATTATAAAATTTGGCTACCAGAGTATTTTAGAGTATTTGTAAAAAAATACTCTAAAATAAGGACAGTAAACAGGGCTAACACTTGAAGTGCCAAAATGTGTGTTGGCCAGTGTTATCAATATATTAACTGTGAATTGTTTCAAAACTCAGAACAATTGACTTACGAGTACTCATGGGAGCTTTTTCACAAAGCTGGAATCATGACCATTCAATCTTTAGACTCCTGCAGCGAAGAAAAGTACCATATCTGTAAGAAAATGTATAAACAAGTGTATTAATATGCTATGGTTTCAGATAAGCTTTCACTGATTTTACCCCACCAAAATCCCTAATTTCAATGTACCTTTCCAAATCAGTGACATTTTAGTTTTAAGATCAAACCAATGCAATTAAAAATAGGAGTAGAATTAAGCCACAATCCAATAAGCAGACTGCATATATCCTCCATCCAGTTGTAGAGGACAGAGATTGTTTCTTCTTCCCCAATTGGTTGAGAAGCCAAGCTTTGTCCCCTAGCTACTGATCTGAAATCCTTGAGATTTCTTTCTGCAACACCCATCCTGAAAAGTATCCTATCAGTGTCAAGATTCTAGCCATAAAATAACATATCAAAATAGAATGGCTTTTGACAGAAAAGGAGATATATTAGAAATACACTTTTCTTGGACAGGTTGAGTATCCCTCATCCAAAATGCTTTGGGCCAAGAGTGTTTTGAATTTGGGAGTTTTCCAAATTTTGGAATGCCTATAATGACATATAAGTACATAAGGAAATTTTGTAGAGATCGGACCCAATTCTAAACACAAAGTTGATTTAAGTTTCATATACACCATATATACAAAGCCTGAAGGTGAATTTATATACAACATTTTAATAATTGGAGCCCCCAGTGGTGCAGCGGGTTAAACTACTGAGCTGCTCAACTCGCTAACCAAAAGGTTGGCAGGTTCAAATCCAGGGAGCGGGATGAGCTCCCACTGTTAGCCCCAGCTTCTGTCAATCCAGCAGTTCGAAACATGCAAATGTGAGTAGATAAATAGGTACTGCTCCGGCAGGAAGGTAACGACGCTTCATGCAGTCGTGCCAGCCACATGACCTTGGAGGCGTGWATGGATAATGCCGGTTTCGGCTTAGAAATTGAGATGAGCACCACCCCACAGAGACGGACACGACTAGACTTAARGTCAAGGGGAAAGCTGAACTTTTTATTTTAATAATTATGTGCATGGAACAAAGTTTTGTATACTGAACCACCAGAAAGCAAAGGTGTCCCTATATCAGCCAACCACATTGCTGATTTTGGACTATTTCGGAATTCCAGATAAGAGATGTTCAACCTGYAATAGTAGCTTCTGTTTATTAGACTATACGTTATTGTATGCTTTCTCCTGAAATGAAAAAAAGYGATTTATTAACATGCAAATTCATTTAAAGAGGTCTGAAAACCATCAAMCACCRAAACAATTTCCTYGGGAARACAGTACAACTRTATGGTGACTTCAGAATAAATGGAAGCTCATTTCAATAGGTTYCTGTGAGTTTTCCAGGCTSTATGGCCATGTRCCAGAAGCATTCTCTCCTGACGTTTRYRCCACATCTACYGCAGGCATCCTCAGAGGTTYTGAGGTCTYTTGGAAACTAGGCAAGTGGGGTTTATATATCTGTGGYATGTCCAGGGTGGGAGAAAGAACTCTTGTCTGTTTGTGGCAAGTGTGAATGTTGCAATTGGCTATCTTGATTAGCATTAAATGGTCTTGCAGCTACAAAGCCTGACTGATTCCTGCCTGGGAGAATCCTTTGTTGGGAAGTGTTAGTTGGCCCTGATTGTTTCTGTCTGGAAGTCCCTGTTTTTTTAGTGTTGCTCTTTTCAGTATGATTAGTTACTATCTGCACTTTCCTGTTTCCATTGTAAGTTTAAGAATGTATCCCTCCATGGATATGGGGCTCATACTGTGTGCATTTTTATACTTGAGGAACCATTTGTTCTCAATATTATAAGTGTAACTCTGCCATTTTGTTGGGGTGAGTACAAATAAGTAAACATAGGATCAATTTGTCACATTAAATTGTGCCTCAACCAACAATTTGTATAATTATTCTCCCAATTTTACACCTTGCTGTGCATTGATAACAGTAAAAATAGCCCAGTGTACACACACACACACACACACACACACACACACACACACATATATACACACACACACTAGACTAATGAAGAGGATGCATTTATGATTTTTAAAAAACATTTGCACTCCTGTCTAGACATTAGGCCAAGAAATTACAAATCTGATAATATAAAGTAAACAATCTTGGTAACTCAATACAATATAGAAAAAGTAGAAACGAAGAAGTTTGTTTCTATTTATTAGTAGAAATACCTGAGTCATGTTTGGTGGCAAGTAGCCAAAGCTAGTCATGGCTTCACAAAGTTCTCCAAAATAAAGAACCAAAACACGTGTTTCCTATGTCAACAGATGATGTAGTCTGTTGACATAGTTCCTCTCTAAGGGCCCTTCCACACAGCCATATAAACCAGAATATCAAGGCAGATAATCCTCAATATCTGCTTCGCACTGAATTATCTGAGTTCACACTGCCATATAATCCAGTTCATCGTGGATTTTATGCAACTGAGTGGAAGGGGCCTAAATGAAATTAAATCAGGCGCACTGAGCTGAGAGGCAGAACATCTGACAGGGAGGAGCTGGGGTGAATCTACACTGCAGAATTAATGCAGTTTGACACCACTTTAATTACTATGGCTTGATGCTATGGCACCCTGGAAGTGAAGAAGACTATTGCCCCCAGGATTCCACAGCAATGAGCCATGGCAGTTAAAGTGATGTCAAACTCCATTAATTCTACAGTGTAGATGCACTCCGAGATACAGTATAGAAAGTGACCTGAAACAGTACTATCTCTACATATTGTCGAAGGCTTTCATGGCCGGAATCACTGGGTTGTTGTAGGTTTTTCCGGGCTATATGGCCATGTTCTAGAGGCATTTTCTCCTGACGTTTCGCCTGCATCTATGGCAAGCATCCTCAGAGGTAGTGAGGTCTGTTGGAAGTAGGAAAATGGGTTTATATATCTGTGGAATGACCAGGGGGACAAAGGACTTATGTCTGCTGGAGCTAGGTGTGAATGTTTCAACTGACCACCTTGATTAGCATTTAATGGCTTGGAAGTGCCTGGGGGAATCTTTGTTGAGAGTGATTTGATGTGCCTGATTGTTTACTCTCTGTTGTTTTGCTGTTGTAATTTTTGAGTTTTTTAATACTGGTAGCCAGATTTTGTTCATTTTCATGGTTTCTTCCATGAAACCAGGCACATCAAATCACTCTCAACAAAAGATTCTCCCCAGGCACTTCCAAGCCATTAAATGCTAATCAAGGTGGTCAGTTGAAACATTCACACCTAGCTCCAGCAGACAAAAGTCCTTTGTCCCACCCTGGTCATTCCACAGATATATAAACCCACTTTCCTACTTCCAACAGCCTCACTACCTCTGAGGATGCTTGCCATAGATGCAGGCGAAACGTCAGGAGAAATGCCTCTAGAACATGGCCTATAGCCCGAAAAAACCCACAAGAATTGCCCCAGTCATGGTTTTTGCAGAACCTCTAACAATTTAAGCGGCTGAGGGGGGAAAGGAAGGGGCCTGAGGCCGCTAGGAATTCTGGGAGTTGAAGTCCAAAACACCTGAAGGGCCCAAGCTTGCCCATGCCTGGATATATAATAACTTCAAGTCTGTAGAAGCGGCCAGAGAGGAGGGAGACCTACCTCAGAAGAGGAGGCAGTATTATCCCAATAGAGAAGAAGTCAGGCTTTCCCGCCAACGTTTTCCCGCGCTTTTCATTGGCCCAACGCGGCTGTTGCTGGGGCGCTGGCGGTTCCTCTGGGCGGCCTGATTCCCCTCCCTTCTCTCTTCTGAGGGCGGAGCAGGAGGAAGAAGAGGGAGCCCTTGGGTCACGGAAAGAGGAGGAGGAGGAGAAAGAGGTGCCGCCTGAGGCCCGGGACAGAGACGCTGCGTGGCTGTGGCTGCTGCTTCTGTTGAGAGAGAAGGACGGAAAGGAGCCCGGCCTGGAGGTAACAAAGAGGCAAAATGGAGGAGCCACGGTGGCCGCCCCCTTCGCTCTTTCTCTCTGTCTCTTCTTTCCTCAGTTCAGGCGCCATCTCTGTTAGTCCTTTTCACCTCAAAGGGTGAAAAGAAACGGCATTGGCAATGGCTGGGCTCAAAGAAGAAGTCACGCCAAGGCCAAGTGGTGTTTTGTTTTTGTTTGGGGAATAGGATATTTGGGGAGGTTTCCCCCAAAACCCACCCATTTGAAGCCCCTAAAAGGACAAGTTTTATTAAGGCAACAAGTAAAGGAGAGAAGTTAACGAATAAAGCCAGTTTTTAGGGCAAGAGGTAGGAAAACTGACCCTAAAAGGCTGCTTTTGGGGGAAAGAGACTCCCCAAAGACAGTTTTTGGGGCAAAAGGTAGGAAAAATGACCCTCAAATGACAGCTTTTAGGGCAAGAGGTGGGGAAACTGACCCCAAAACACAGTTTTTTAGGGCAAAGGGTAGGGAAAGCGACCCCTAAATGACATCTTTTAGGGCAAGAGGTGGGGAAAGTGATCCCAAAAGGCAGGTTTTGGGGTAAAAAGTAGGAAAAGTGACCCCCAAAGATAGTTTTTGGGGCAAAAGGTGGGGAGAAGTTACCGCCAAATACAGCTTTTAGGGCAGAAGGTAGGAAAAGTGATCCCCAGAGACTGTTTTTAGGGCAAAAGGTGAAGGAAAGTTATCCCAAAAGACAGGTTTTAGGGCAAGGGGTGGGAAAAGTGACCTCAAAAGACAGGTTTTGTGGCAAAAGGTGGGGAGAAGTTACCCCCAAAAAACAGTTTTTAGGGCAAGAAGTTGGGAAATGACCCCAAAAGCCAGCTTTTAGGGCAAGAAGTTGCCTCAAAAAACCAGTTTTTAGGGCAAGAGGTAGGAAAAGTGACCACAGAAGACAGTTTTTAGGGCAAGACCTAGGAGAAGTGACCCCAAAGGCCAGGTTTTGTGGCAAAAGATAAGGTGAAATTACCCAAAACACAGCCTTTAAGGCAACAGGTGGGAAGAAGAAGAGCTTTCTGGGTGCACACACACATACACACAAATGACAGCTTTTAGGGCAAGAGGTAGGAAAAGTGACCCCAAAGGACAGTTTTTATGGCAAAAGGTGGGGAGAAGTTACCCCAAAATATAGTTTTAGGGCAAGTGATGCGAAAAGAAAGTTTTTGCAGCAAAAGGTGAGATGTCACCCCAAAAGCCAGTTTTTAGGAGGGGGCAAGAGCTGGGGAAAGTGACCCGAAAAGACAGGTTTTGAGGCAAAAGGTGGGGGTAAGTTACCCCAAAAGGCAGCTTTTATGGCAAGAGTTAGGAAAAGCGACCCCAAAGGACAGGTTTTATGGCAAAAGGTAAGAAAAGCGACCCTCAAAGAGTTTTTGGGGCAAAAGGTAGGAAAGTGACCCCCATAAAACGGTTTTTTGGGGGCAAGAGCTAGGAAAAGTGACCCCCAAAGTTTTGGGGGCAAAGGGTGGGGAGGAGTGATCCCAAAAGACAGTTCTTAAGACGAGGGGTAGGAAAAGTGACCCCAAAGGACCATTTTTGAGGCAAAAGGTGGGGGAAAGTAACCCCAAAAAACATTTTAAGGCAAGAGGTAGGAAAAGTGACGTGGAAAGACAGTTTTTGTGACAAAAGGTAGGGAGAAGTGTCCCAAAAGGATAGTTTTTAGGGCAAGAACTAGGAAAAGTGACTCCCAAAGCCAAAAGATGAGGCAAAATTACGCAAAAGACAGCCATTAAGGCAACAGGTGGGAAGAAGTTACCCCAAAAATAGTCTTTTAAGGCAACAGGTGGGGAGACACACCCAAAAATAAAGCTTTTAGGGCCACAAGTGGGAAGAAATTGCACAAAAGCCAGGTTTTGGAGGCGTGGGAAAAGCTACCCCAAAATACAGCTTTTGTGGCAAAGGGGGGAGATGTTACCCCAAAATACTGCTTTTAAGGTAACTGGTGCGGGAGAAGATGCCCCAAAAGACAGCTTTTAGTGCAAGAAATAAGAAAAACTACCCAAAAAGCTAGCTTTTTGTTTATTTATTTACACTTGTACGCTGCCCTTCTCATCCGAAGGGGACTCAAAGCGTCTTACAAGGTATATATACATAACAATATATTGTATTGTTAGCATAGTACGATATCGGTATTAAATATTACTATATTGTACTATACCATTATATTGTAATATTATTAGTAATATTACATGTAATGTAAATATGTAGTTGTAATATATTAGTAACATATTGCATTATATTATAATATTAAATTGTAATATTAAATATTTAAAACAGCAGCTTTGAAGGCTGCCGGTGGGGAGAGGATGCCCCAAAAGACAGATTTTAGACAAGAGGAAGAAAAGTTACCCAAAAAGACAGCTTTTAGAGCAGTAAGTGAAGAGAAGTTGCCCCAAAAGGCAACAGGTGGGGAGAAGTTGCCAAAAAACAGCTTTTAGGACAAGAGGTAAGAAAAGTTGCCCCAAAAGCCAGCTTTTTGGGAAACAGGCAGAGAGACCTCAAAAACCACCTTTTCAGTCATCAGGTGGGAAAAGCTACCTCAAAAGCCAGTTTTAAGGCAACAGGTGGGGCGAAATTATCCAAAAAGCCAGGTTTAAGAGAAACAAATGGGGAGAAGCTACCTCAAAAACTAGCTTATAGATAAACATGTGAGTTCAACTGCCTACAGCCTATGCTCCTAAGTTGTTGTCCTCGATGTGTTTTGAACTTCACCTCCCAGAATTCTCAGATCATTGGCCAAAGTGGCTGATGTTGCTGGGAGTTGAAGTCCAAACACTTGGGGAAACAAAGTTTGAGAATCATTGTGAATTAATGCACTTTGCTGCCATCCCTATAGAATCATGGGAGCTCAGTGCTATACAATCATGAAAGCTGTAGTTTTAAGAAGTCTTGAGCCTCCTCTGCCAAAGAGGACTGGCGTCTCACCAAACTACAAATCCCAGGATTCAACAGCATTGAAAGGGGTGTCACGCTGCATTAAATCTACATACTTTGGGCAAAAAGAATTGACCTGGTTTTTTAAGCAGAGCATCTATATCCTGCTGTTTCCTCCTCGCCCTTTTTTTCCACTCAGTTAAACATTGATCAACTTTTGTGTGACAGAAAGGGGGAAGAGTCAGTGAAATCATGCTTTCAGCTAAACAAAATACACCGCAGGCATTCAGTTTTGTATATGTCTCTCCAGAAAGAGGGAGGGCAGGCAAACTCATTATCATGTGTGTCATGCAGTCACAAATGAAATTAATCTCTTGAGTAACAAAGCAGGAAAAGTTAGCCAGAGTAATAAATTAATTATATCACAGTTCAAGTTGATGATTTTATGCACACATCTTGATATGTTGCTTATAAAGCCAGCTTTCCCTGCTTTTGTTCAGCAGTATTGTAGTCGTGTATCTTCAAGTATTTTCTAATTTCATGCGACCATAAGACCGTATCATACGGCCTTCTGGAGCTGATAGTATATAACTCACCCAAGGTCACTTAGGATTGAAACCTGGTCTCCAAGATCCCAGTTCCAGCACTCAAACCACAATGCCATACTGGTTCTCATTTGGCAATACCGTGTAATCATCTTTAAATGATAATACAGCTTTTGGTGACTTTGGATCACAATCCAAGACTGGAATGAAGAATTAATGGCAGGATATGGTAGAAACTTACTTACTTACTTTACTTAGGCGATCCCTCGTTGCCCAAGTAGGATAGTCTTCCAGGATCAGAATTCTTGTGAGTCCACAGCCACCTACAGATGTGGCCGGTCCAGCGAAGTTGATGGCGGAAGGCCATTGCTTCAATGCTGGTGGTCTTTGCTTCTTCCAGCACGCTGACATTTGTCTGCCTGTCTTCCCAAGAGATTTGCAGGATTTTCCGGAGGCAGCGCTGATGGAATCGTTCCAGGAGTTGCATGTGATGTCTGTAGACAGTCTACGTTTCACAGGCATATAGCAGGGTTGGGAGGACAATAGCTTTATAAACAAGCACCTTGGTCTCCCTGCAGATGTCCCGGTCCTCAAACAGTCTCTGCTTCATTCGCTGCACTCGCAGAGCTCAGGCAGTGTTGTTTTTCGGTTTCGATGGGTAGAAGCCCAAATGATTGAACAGTTACTGTACTTTGGACATTTAGTTATTTACTATTATCCCACCTTTCCCCTAATCTAGGGACTCATGACAGCCATGAGATAACATGTGTAATAGGAAAATACAATAAATCGCAAAAGGTTGTAGGCAAACAGACTGCATTACGAAGGGATTGATTCACTCAAGCAATCCAAAGCCCCGAGTTTGCAAGTCTGTTAATAAAACAGACTACAGCTACTGTAGAGTTTGACATTACTTTCTGATTCAATCCTGGGAGTTAAAGTGGTGAGGCACAAGCATTATTTGACAGAGAAGGCTCAAGACCTTGTAAAACTACAAATCCCGGGATTCCATAGCATTGAGCCATGACAATTAAAGTGGTGTCAAACTGCATTCATTCCGTGGTGTAGATGCACACACAATCTCTCTATATAAATGCTCTGTGCATAATGAGTACCTTAAAAACAAAAGAACCAATGAACGAAATCACACCAAATTTGGCAACAAAACGTCTCACAACACAAGGAGTGACCATCACTCAAAAATTATGATTTTGTCATTTGGGAGTTGTAGTTGCTGGGATTTATAGTTCACCTACAAAAAGAGCATTCTGAACTCCATCAACGATGGAATTGAACCAAACTTGGTACACGGAACTCCCATGACCAACAGAAAATACTGGAAGGGTTTGGTGGGCATTGACCTTGAGTTTGGGAGTTGTAGTTCACCTACATCCAGAGAGCACTGTAGACTTAAACAATGATGGATCTGGACCAAACTTGGCACAAGCCCAAATATGAACACAGGTGGAGTTTGGGGGAAATAGACCTTGACATTTGGGAGTTGTAGTCACTGGGATTTACAGTTCACCTACAATCAAAGAGCATTCTGAACCCCACGAACGACAGAATCAGG